TGTTGGTTTGTATGTTAGGTTGTTTTTTTTGGGTAAAAAAGAGAAAAAGTGTTGACTCTCTTCAGACATCCAACTAACAGTTTAAAGTTAAACTGACTGCTGCTACTGATTTCTTTAAATAGATAAGTGGCATTAAGGAAAAAAGCTTTCTAGCTTTGACCTTCCATTGATTCCAATAATGTTTTAGTGTCTTTCATTGGTTTTTATGGTTCAACTTAGGCCTCAGGTCCAGATAAAGTGAAGAAATGACAGTAAGCATGTTGTTTCTCCATCCCGACTGTACTCTTTGGAGTATTAACATGGCTTGAAGTAAAACTAGGAGATATACATTAGTTGTAAAAAATATGTCATTCTGCTAGATTTTTATGGGATTTTGGTGCATATTCAATTAGTAACAAAGATCAATAAGTCTAATTTTATTGCTCTGTTCTTTTTCTAACTATATCTTAATCTCATTTGATCACTGCTTTTTATCTTCATTCACTTAAAATCCATTTCAACAGGTTTTAGATGTTTCTAATGTGTCTATAAACACATGTTCTTTTGTAGCTCTGCCTCCTGGTTTAATCTGGAATTTACAAAATGAACGACTAACTTTATAACTAGGTCTACGAACAGTAACAACCATTCATGTGATAGACCCCATTCAGAAGACGCAGATTCATGGAAAAGGTTTTTGAGGGACATGTGGGACACACTTTCTGTCCCACATGGTGCAACACAGATTATTGCATCAGAGGTGACACAGTGACAAATCAGAAACCACAAGATAAAACAAAAACAACTAAAACTATATTTTGCCTCGGCAAAAACAAAATGCCATGACAATCTCACAGATAGATGAAAGCACCACATTTACATCGATGCAGTTTCTAAACATGCCAAAGTGCACATAAGCAAACATACATAGGATTTTTCGAGCACAGGCCTTTTAGTGTAGATCAGTTGTTACAATTCAGTGCAAACATGACTTTGGATGACAGCCTGTTTGGAAGCAATGTGGTCTGACTGAGATAAACAGGAGGTTGTGAGCAACACAGCACTTTTTAAACTGTAAACTATTTAAACCCCTCACCATTCCAGGTCACAAACCATGTATCCACAGTTTGGTGTTCAGATGTTTGACTTCACCAGTGAGTATTCAAAGTTTAGTGTTTTTGTGCGAAATGGAGAGCAGCTGGCAGATGAAGGATTGCTCCTTGAGATAGTAAAGATAAGGCGAGAAATAGAGGCAGACATAACAAGCTTTTATCGAGGTCGCATCTTATTCGACCGGCTTTAATTTGAGGAATGTTTTTGAAGTTGTCATGTTGCACTGATAATGGAGATGTTTAAGACGATACAAGTGAAAACCACGGTCATTTCAAATTTGATGGGGCCGTTTTTGTAAAATTTCTTCTTTGTTTTATCTGCTGTTGACTGGACTAATGCATAATTAGACAAGCATTTGGTGTGTTTACATGCAGTCATTTACCTCTGCATTTTAAATCTACATGACTGTAACTGAAAAGGGAGAGAAACCACTGACAGGTTGTGGGAAATGTTTTGGCCAAAATAGCTTTAGTCCCTTCATCGGTCCACAGAGGTGAGCTCACCCAAATCACAACAAAACTGTTCCACTGCTAATGAGAGGGGGCGATTTTCCAAGGCTACGAGGGAACCACTGGAGGTCCTTGTGTCATCAGTGGGTTTGTGGTTGCGCTTGCAGTAATTTAGGTTCTACCTTGATTCCAAGTTTTTCCACCCAGGCCCCAGAAGTTAATGAGTAGGCTAAAGATAGAGCAGTTTTTTTTTCTTTTTTGCAGTTATATTCATCTTGGTGAACGTCTTCTTGATGTAAATGAAAACTGTCTTTTTTAATCTAGACCTGTACATACTTCATTGGGCTATTTACACACAAATATAATTTCATACCTGATACCTGATATTATCCATACCATGGTGCATGGAACTTGAAACTTGGTATTTGGAAAAAAAATATGTGGGACTTCTAAATTAGATCTGTCTGCTTATTTTTTGTTATTATTTATGGATGCATATTCAGTGCATATTCAGTCAAACGTGTTTTGTGCTTAAGCAAAGACGACTCGGATGTCTGATTACCTGAGAGTAATGAAGGTTTCCATGGATACCACCTACTTCGCTGATTGGTCAATATCCTGCGGAATGATATTGGGGTCCTGCTTGACTCGTCATCTATTCTTTAGCTCTCCTGGTTTTTGGGGAGGGAGGAGTGCGGAGCTGAAAGGCAGGCTCTCTCTTTACTGCCGTCTGAATGGGTGGAAAGTGGTCTCTGCTCGCGGAGCTTATGAATTTGACTCTTCTACTCGGTAATTAAGGCGAGTTGAACTCAGCCCGAATCGGGAAAAGTCACAAATGAGCGGTCGTGTTTTAATTGGAAAAGTGTCCCCGCTACAGCCGGCGACAGGAGCCAGAAGGACTTTGATTTTTAAGCCAAGGTAACCGAATGACTGCAGTATATCTCTGACGATATTTTAAAAGTTATCGTTTTGCATTTGTTTTGTTTTCAGTATACCAAATATTCATTATTGTTTTTTCACGTAACTCGAGATTTGCCTTTTTATCAGCACACCCATTTGTCGGGTTTTAAGCTTTTAACGTCCTCCCTCAAGGACTTAGGCTCCTGACAATCGATTTTTATTTGAAATAATCATTGTCTGCTTGATTTAGTGTGAATTGTGAGAGTTAGAAGAAATGTTCAAATCTGTGATGGTTATTTGGAGGACATTGCAGTGTCCTTGTACTGAAGGATGTCTATACCTCATTTAGAAAGATGCATTCCTACGAGCCATCTGCATCCAAGCTGGAAATAAATGTTAAAAACAAATTTGCACAAGACATTCTTCTGCGGTTTTAATATTAGTTTGATCAATTCTTATTTCTAGAAACATGTATTGTGCTAACCCATTGTCATAGCCCTCTGTTTATTTCTGCTGTACTTTTCTATGTTGTGCACTGTGGTGGTCACAAATGTTGGTTTGTACCTACTTTTTCCTCACTAAAAGCACCTCAGTCTTTTTTAAACCCAAACAATGTAAGAGTGTCTCCCAAATCACTTATGCAAATCAAATATGCATTGGACCCGAGCCATGAAAAACAAAATTTAATTGCCACCCTGTGTATGAAGTATGTGCTAGACTGGTGTACATCACCCAGCAGAGCAGGCAGCTTGGCTTGTCACATCAGCAGCCCACAGACCTTAAGCCTCAAAGGCTGACATCCCTGTGGGGTTATTCATAGCCCCTCTGACAGAGGACGTATTGTTTCAGGCATACCACAAACATCTGTACTAACTGTTCAATTTATAAAACTCACTCAGCTGCTGATGATTTTTTGGGGAAACTCATATATAATCCAACATTTGCCATTTTGTTGATGAACTCTGCATTTGAGGTCATGTCGCCCTGGCCTCAATTCACTGAAAACATTGCCTTCATGCACCAAAATGCTCAAAATCAGTACCTTCAGCCGGAGTCACGGAAAGCTTCTTCACTGTTTTACAACTCCAGCTACCGCTCCAGCCATGTGATTATATCCAATTCTGAATGTGTGGAAGACATTTTTCTCTTCCTGTACTTTTCTTTGCAATTCCGTGTTCCATGCCATTGCTAATTACAGACTGCAGACCCACAAATAGCATTTTCAGCACAGTGGAGAAACCAAAGACAGGGAAAAGAACTGATTCAGCTCAAGCAGTGACTCAGCTGTAAAGGGTAATATTAATTTACCTTTTCCACTGTGCCACGTTTTTGTAGGCCAACAAAAATTTTATCACCACCTGCGGTTGCCAGGGGTAATGATGGGGAACATAATTATACAAAAGCTTAGCTGGACTTACATTTCACTCGACAAAGTGATTCAACAAAGTGTTATTGCTCTTTTAAATTTTCTTCTGTCTTCTGTTTTTTTAGTATTCACCCCTTTCCTGATATACACAGCTTTTAATGCATTCAGATATAAATGATGTGGGACATCTGACACCCAGTGAGCAATTTCTCACCGCTGTGCTGGGACTGCCCTCCCCTGCTGTCCTCACCAGAGAGGGCCAGTCTGGCAGCATCTGTTTCAGGGTGACTCAGAAATGCTTTGAGGGGTGTAGGGAAGACCAGCGGAGGATTTGAGGGCCTGTCACTCTGCTTCCCCTCATCCGGCTTCTGTACAGAATAACAGGCATTATTGCAAATCCTATCTGATACCACAGCCTTTGAGAAACATGATTTATCTACATATCCTGACAAGTTTCCCCCTTGGGGTTCCGGTTTAAGATTTTAACTTTGTTTGTCTATGTTAAGTGACAAACTTAACTTACGTTAAGCGCTGGTGTCATAGTGATTTATAAAATTATGATGAATTATGCATAATGTAAAATTAACTGCTCAAATGGACCATTTTATTATGACTGCATGAGGGGAGTTTCCCACAAAAGTTGTAGCGGTTTGCCAAAAGACATTTCCCTATTGCAGCATTGTGAATTATGGTGTTTACATGGTTAAGAAAGCTAAAAGCATTCACACTGTTTTAAACAGTAATGAATTATGACAAAATATTGTGTTAAAACAAATAGTAGTTCATATAACAGTGTTTTTGTTCATTCATCTTTATGGATCACAAACTCGGCATTTGCCCAAAAGATTGCATTAAACATTGTTTTATCATCTTCAAACTAAATCAGGTTTAACCTCCTGTCCGAATTCCTGATCCAGTGTTTTAAAACTGAACTAGATATTTGTTTTTACATAAAAGATTAGTGAACAATAAAGAGAAGAAAAAAGTTGGAACCAGTCCTTTGGATTTGATGACCATATGGCATGAAACTCTGATGCCACATGCTCATTTAATAAGTATTACCTGCTTCTTGAGCATGTGGTCATATCCAATATCTGTCAAAAGAAGACAGATGGACATACGTTTTTTTTCTTCTCTTCCCACCACATTAAACGCAGTGTTCTGTATCTATTTGCGTTGGTAATTTACTTGGTATGTGTAATACACTTGTGATAAGTGGTCATCTTGTCTTGTTTCTAGTTGGGATGAGAGCAGCTCAATCAGCAGTGGACTCAGTGACGGTGATGGTGATGGCTCCGAGAACCTCAGCTCAGAGGAATTCAATGCAAGCTCTTCACTTAACTCCCTCCCAAGCACACCCTTGGGATCGAGACGCAATTCCTCTGCCATGGTAAGCTGAATCACTTTATCAGTCTGACATGTTCTCTTTCTTAACTTTGTGCTGTTTGTATATTTTAGGAAAAGTTGTTAGTTGTTTGTACTTTAACTAAAATTGAGCCATCACTGTTAACATTCATTCATGTGAAAAGAGAGGTGCAAGTGGTGTTTTTAACAGGATAAGATATTAAGATATGGTTTTCACAAATTATTACTTTAATTTTGATAAAAAATCACATTCCAAAATATACATAAAAAATGGAATGTCTCACCCACCATTAAAAAAGTTTTTACATTGCAGATAATCCAACGAAAAAATGGGCCTCAGTCCAGAGACTTTTTGTCCCCAATTATTTTTCTATTTCTTGTTCCATGTACCCAGCATGAACTTTAATTGTAATTGTTCCCATCAGATATGGCTTTTTTATTTACATTTGTGTCTTTCACAGTTGTGGTATTGTTGTGTTGCCAAGGTACTGGCACCTACTGGAGAAGTTTCTGCTTCAGTAGCTGACACCAGGATCACATTTTGCACTATATAAGCCTTGATAATTTAGCTAGTAGGTAAATTTGCATATGAAGGAAACAAACAGAATACTGGTAGAGATTTGATAGGATAAGTTCTCTCCAGGAAAACATTGTCTGACTTTACTTACATAGAAATGGCTTTTTTGAAAGAAAGGAACATTAGGGTGATTCAATGAACCATCTGCTGCTCTATATCACTTTTATATTGTGCCAAGAAACAGCATGCCCAGTTTTGTCCTGAGTGCCACCTCCACAACGCACAGCATGATATCTATTAACATGTACCTGTTTTGTTTTTTTGTTAGCAGCACATCCAGAAATACATCTGAACATTTTCTTTATTATTTAATGCATCACTTAAACGGAGAGTTTCAACAGCTATAAAAAATATTTCATTATCTTCCTTTGTGGTTTCCTTGAATCCCTTTGGAGCATATCAGTTTAACTCATTGTCTCTCTCCTGGAATGTAGCTCAGATAGAACACAGATTACAGAGAGGAGATCATGTCTGATGGTTACCCACACTGCACCTCCTCCCTTCTTCTCTCTGCAGCTTCGCACTGATGCAGAAAAGCGCTCCCTGGTGGAAAGTGGACTTTCTTGGTACAGTGAGGATGGCAAAGTCAGTCATAAGCTTGATTGCCACAGCTACGAATCTGGAAGTCTCAAGACAGAAGCGCCAAGTAAATGGAGGAAGAAGCCTCCGAGTCTCAATGAAGATTTTGGGCTCAAAGGAGATCTGAAGAAGCCTCAAAGTCTAGGTCAACCAGGAAGTTTCAAGAAGGGCAGAAATCCTCCAGTGGGCGTGACCTCCCCCATCACCCATACCTCACAGAGCATGCTTAAGGTCGCAGGTAAGATGTGATGGCGTGTTTAACTACTCATATTTGTCCTGCATGTCAGTCCTTTTACCTGGTATTTAATTCTCATACAAATGTGTTTTATCAATCTTATCTTGGGAATTCCATCTAATTTATTTCCTCACTGAATGCATGACATAGTGTGTTTATAGACCAGTCAAGACATAATTCTGCACCGTATCAGAATGTGTACAAAGTTGTATGTGTTACTAAAAGTCAGTGTGTGATAGTTGAACACATTAACTCAGTTTGAAGCTCCAACCCATGTGTCTTTCATTATGTCAAAGAAAAGGTTTGTTGCTGTTGATACTCTTTATCGACTATCTACAGCAGCTGGCATGCATGTTTTATCTCAGGCTGGACTTATGCTATCTTAGTTTAATACTTTCATTTGAACACTTAAAGTTTTTAAATGGGTTCCTATGATGTATAGTCTTGGTAGAAATATGTTTGGTAATCTGTGTCCAAACATGCAACATCTTTGTGAGTTATTGTAAGCAAAACCTTCAAAAGTCTCTACAACCACTCTCATAAAGAACCATCTTCTTTAACAGTCAAAACCTTGAAGCTTTAGCTTTTTTTTAACGTTTTAAGACATTTCAGTAATAGTACAATGGAAATATATTGGAGGATACCAACTGGATTATTGGGTCTATTCTTCATAAGACTGTCACAGGCTTATACTGACATAAAAATGAGTCAGACCACTGGCACATCAGCATGTTATCAAAAATCCATTCATATTACGAATAGTTTCTTTAGGGGCAAACAACAAAATGATCAAAAAGACATGTCGGCATTCATGTAAACTGCTTTGAGATTACAGGTAATTTAAATGTTAACTTTTCTTTCTTAATTTTTTTCTTCCCTCGTTGCTGTAGCACCCAAGACTGAGAAGCCACTGGACAAATCTAAGATTTCCATAAAAACTGCTGGCCTGCAACGTTCTCGTTCAGATGCTGGAAGGGATCATCATGGTGAACACCGCAAACCCCCATCAGGTTTAGTCAAACCCACTGCTGGGGGCTCCTTTGGCTACAAGAGGCAACCAACAGCCACTGGTACTGCTACCGTTATGACAGCAGGTGGTGCCACCATCTCCAGTGGCTCTGCGACTGTAGGGAAAACCCCAAAGTCATCTGGAATCCCTGTGAAGCCCGTGGGAGGAGGAGCACCCTCTGGTAGAAAAAATAGCTTTGATGCCAGCAGTGAACAGAGTTTCCTCGGGCCAAATGCCCGAAACAGCATTCAGTACCGCAGCTTGCCTCGACCGGCCAAGTCAAGCACACTCAGTGTGATTGGTCGTCCTGCATCTCGGCCAGTCAGCAGTACTATTGACCCGAGTCTTCTAAGTTTGAAACCTGTACCCATGGCTTCCACAGGCCCAAGGCTTAAAGAACCTTCTGGTGGCAGTAGTAAAATGAATCGAACAATAACAGGTCCAGTGAACCAGACAGACAGAGAAAAGGAAAAAGAACGAGCCAAGGCCAAGGCGGTTGGGGTTGATACGGACTGCGCCTCTTTGAAAGGGGCGGACAGCCTGTCTGAGTCCCATGGAGAGTCCACAGTGAAACTGCACGGCTTGAGACGGACCAGCAGCAGCAAATACCCTGAACTTTCATCTCCCACAACACCAAGGTCTCTTATTTAATGATGCTCACCCAAATGACAAAATGCAAAAATGTGAAAAAACTTATGTCTGACCCACAGTCACACCTTCAACTGTAATGTTTTATTATGTTTCTTCCTTGGTGATAACCATAATTCATTTTCACTGCTTTTGCTGCCCTTTCTGCTGACCACCACATCAGATTAAAACAGCGTCAATTGAAACAGTTCCATTAGAAGAGCAAAAACATAAATCACCGACATCTATCCAGAAATTGTGTTTGGTTAGCTTGCTAAAGCAGTAACAATGTTCCATCCATCCATTTTCTGAACCACGTATTACCAAATAGGGTCGTGGGGGGACTGGAGCCTTTCCCTGTAGTCAATGTGCGAGAGGCAGGGTACACCCTGGACGGTCCGCCAGTCCATCGCAGGGCCACACACATATACACACAACACACAAACAACCAGGCACACTCACACTCACTCCTAAGGGCAATTTGGAATGTACAATCAACCTAACAAGCAGGTTTTTGGACGGTGGGAGGGTGCCGGAGTACACAGGGAGAACATGCAAAGATTAATAATGTTCTTCGGAGCCAACTACAAATACTTTTTCCTGTAATCAATTATCTTCCAAGGACATGGTTCAAAGGAATAGAAGGAATTGTTTCTTTGTTTAGAGCCGTGCTGCCTAAAAGAATACTGAAAATCATTCATTCCAATGGCATGATTATGATATCACTCTATTTTAAGTAAATTATGTGGTTTGTTTTTGTTAGTTGGATGAAAAGTATAATTGTTATTTGGGTGAAATGTATCAGTTCTTCTGAAATTGTTTGTCTTCTGTCTGACTTACAGAATGTTGAACACAAAGTCTTTGGGCCGTCCGCCCAGCTTGGCTCACTTGGACAAGATCAATTCTAACAGTCTCGACTCATGTGTGACCATCCACGACCTCCCGCCCAAAGTCCCCCCATATTCCAAACTTCAAGACCTGGCTAGTTCTCACACACCTAGCCGTCTCATCCCCAGCCCGGCGCCCATCCTCCATATTGATTCTCCCACCTATACTAGTGAGAGCTTGAGTCTGAGCGGATCACCCATGCTGTACCCCAAAAGGACCGGCATGCACCGCAGCATGGAGTCCCTTCCCCTCCAGATGAGCGTGCCCACCAGTGCACGGTTCATCACAGCAGACATCCACGACAAGGAAGAGAGGGGGACTGGAACCTGGGGGGCTGGGAGCAGGATTTCCCTCAATGTCTCAGAAAGGCAAGTATCAGGAGTTCATACCTTTCAAAAAAGTGAGCTAACGAGTTGATGTCATGTCGTAATATCTTAACTCTGTGCTATTAAAAGGCATCAGATCCAATTGGAGCAGGCAGATTCAATTCTCTTTTAGTGGAGGACAAAGATCAAAGCAAGAGGTGTGCATTGTTCAGGACTGTTGTATTATAAGAAAAAGGCCTTTCTCTTCTTTCATGATTCTGATATTGGCAGAATAGCTGCGTTTATATGAGCAGCAAACAGTGACCATAATAGCAGTTACGTCAGCAGTAATATTTGTTTTTTTTATGACCAACTGTCCATAATGCACTAACATTTCATTTGGCTTTTCTTTGGGGATGTAAAGTGTGTCCTGTCATTTTCAAGATGAAAGGCTGGATATATCACAAAATTTCTGTTTACCGAGGTGGAAGCAATCCACACTATTTCCTGCCAAACAAATGTACATTCAAGCAATCCCACGCTGTGTTTTCTCTAGTTCTAAATGTACAAAATTGGCTAAAGGAATGCTACATAAATTTATGAGATAGCTTACTTTGATATTGTACAGGTTTTACTCCAATATACAAAATGCATATTTTGATTTGATTGAGGAGTATTGCCAGACCTTGTAGTCCTATATTCTTTTTAAGAAACTATTGTGTTTGACTGCTTATTTCAGTTAATTTTTATCTAACATTTTTCCCTTTTGAACTCCACAGCCTGCAAACAGACCGGAACACTTTGCCAAAGAAAGGCTTAGAGTGAGTGAATATAGTTACTGCATTTATTTAGAATGTCAGATTTTCATGTTATCTCACTATTTTCAGTTGAAACAACCTCTCCTTTTCAGACGCTATGGCTCTAGCCTCTCAGACAGTGATGGAAGCAAACCAGGAAGGCGTCACTCCCACACCATAGGGGGCATGACAGAGAGCGATAGCCCTCCTCAGCTGCCTTCTCCCACCCGCCCTCTTCACCCCTCCTCCAGCAAGACTCTTCTTACTAACGTGGGTAGGTGTACTTGTTCCACTTGGCTGCCAGGTTCTAAAAACTCTCACTGTCTGAACTTTGAAATGAATGTGATTGAAGATATGAGCCATCCGCTTCATTGTTGGGTTCATGCTTGGAAGAAACCTCAGCTAAGTGTTTGCATTTAAGAAATCTTAACACAAGTTGTCAAGTCATAGATTCTGCCAAGTGAGTGATGAAGTGATGCACAATTAGCAAAGTATCAGATTTGTTTATGTGGATATGATAATCCCATATCTACATTCATTTAGACTTGAGTTCAAGGCTAAAATATGTGGGAGACGGAGTTATTGGAGGACAAGTCCAGCTATATTTATCACTTTGACTGTTGTGGAACTGTAGCGTTGTGTTACACTCAGTCATCAGAATATCGGTGGCATACCCTAGAGTAAGCTTCTGTATGTGATTCTGTGGCACTACAACCTACAGTTTTGTCTCTTTTTACGTGGTAGTCGCCCCAATTTCCTGTGGCAGCCCGAGGATATCACGTTCTAACAGCACAGGCCCCACAAGTGATTGCGACCTCTATGGATCCTCCCCCCTGGGTAGCAGTATGTCCCTGGCTGACCGTCCAAAAAGCATGATGCGGTCCGGATCTTTCCGTGAACCAGGGGATGATGGTGAGTGTTATCACCTCACCTTCCTGCAGGGCGAGTGTCCCAACATGACCTCAAATGAAACAAAGCTGTCTGCTTGCTTGGCACGCAATCTTTGAAGTAAAATGTCAGAGAGACATTTGCCTCCATCCTCAGGGTAAAAGAAAAGCAGTCTCTCTGCTTCTATTTTAAGATTAATGGTAAGATATTGTTTCATGAGCTTAACCCAAATCATAAGGCATGTGCTGAAAGTAAGCAACAATATACCCACAAACAGTCATTTCTGCAACAGTTACTTCTGTGCGACACGTTTTTCTACAATGCTGTTATCTTTGCATTATTCTTTAAAACAAAAATTCTGTGCATTTGAACACTGGTATAAAAAGTATTGAACAGTTTTTTGGTGTAAAGTCAAGTTTTAAAACCAGTATAATGATGAGTTTCTTATTATGTCACTAAAATTAAATATTCCATTTGTTTAAACTATAACTCATATCTCCTCCTCTGTTTCAGTTCATGGTTCTGTGCTGTCTTTGGCATCCAACGCTTCCTCCAATTATTCATCGGTAAGACAAAAAATTATTATACGTAGATTAAGATGTTTTTCATATGGTTATTGTTACTGGAGTTAAATGCATAGAAGGAATAATTACGAAGTGAATTTGTCAAAATGGTATTAATGCTGATGTGCAGTGCAGTATGACACTGCACTGCACAGTCCAGTGGCCCCTATAATGTATTGAACAATTGACTAGTGACTTGAAAAAATAGGTTGTGAGTAATCAGGAGTTACTTTAATTCTGTATTTTGTCAACAGTTTTATCAAAACGTTTCATATAGGATCTTTATAAGAATTCATTAGTGCCCCCTTCACTGTGGGAGAGTAGTTTTCATGATTGCCTCTAGAGTTAATCCTCTAACTATCCCTCTTGCTGTCACCATGCCTTCTTAAGAATGAGGAGAGGATACAAGGGGAGGTAAGGCTAACAGACCATAAATTTTCAACTGACATTTTACCTTTCATCTGTCAAACTTCGTATAATGTGTCGAGTTGGAATTCGGTGTTTTCAGTGCTTCAGAAACCATGGATATGTATCTCTGGAGAGCTATAACACATTTTAGTTTCTTTCTCATATCATGTGTCTTCAGCATCATTCTTTATCATTTAATAAAGACAGGCAAATTTTCAGTGCATGGAAAAACTGGTAAAATTAAAATCCACAAATGTATTTACTTTTTGTCTTCTATTTTGAAGCAGTAACCTCCATATTTTGTTGCTTGCTCATTCAAGTTGTCACAATGCCATCCATTGATGCATCATAATATTAAAATCTGTATTAATTTCTTCAACACTATAACCCACTTTGTGAAGGAACTGTCTTTCCACATTACAAAGGATTTATTTGTATTTTCTGCAGCAAATCCGCAAGCTGAGACGAGAGCTGGAATCCTCCCAGGAAAAGGTCGCAAACTTGACCATGCAACTTTCTGCTAATGTAAATATGCATCCGTGTTTTTGTTTTGAATTTTCTCTGTGTACTAAGTTTCAACTGATTGCACACGTAAGTGATATTTTTTCAGGGGGATGGAGAAAAATATACCATACATCTAGTAACTAGGTGGGATATTAAATACAGAATATAGGGACAGAAATGTTGTAAATCCTTTCCAATCTTTCTCTCATTAACTATCTTAAAATCTGTGGATTAAAGAGTGTCAACCCAATAACCAGAATTTTACTAAATAAATGGGTCACATAGCATGTTTACATTTCCCTACCTGCCACACTAATAACAACATTTCCAAATTATCCTACCCTGATGCTGCTTTTTAACCCTTAACCTGAATACTAGCTTTCCATTTTGTTTTTACCAGCAATGACTGCAGATGTTTTCATCCCCGCTTTTTGGAATTATTTAATTGTGCAGCCTGTGATGCATGAACTTCACAGGTAAAATCGGTACTGAATAAGCAAAAGAGGATCCTGACCTAATACATAGCCCGACTTCTTTTGCACATTATCTTACTGGTTTTGCTGTTAGCTCTCCTTGGGTGTTCTAATCATTTAAACTAATTGTGTCAACCGCAACTTTTGTGTGATTTTTTTTTCTTTTTCTGTAATTTCATACGTAGCTTTTTTCCCACCTAATGCGAGTGTCCCTCTCTTTTACACTTCATGGCTGTATTGACTGCCGGACACACTGCTGCCCCTTGCCTGCCTCCCTCTGACCCGCACCTCTGGATGCTGGGTGTAGCAGCTAGGCCAGGTTTGTTAGTGTGTGACTTCAAAGTATTCTGTGATCAGCATTTGTCTCCAGGTTGTAATGTTGTGTGGCACAGCCAATGCATGTTGATCAACTGCATATATCAACAATTTGCTATATATTGGCCTTTTATCTGTGTTTTCACAAGTAACATTGAGGCGTAATGGTATTTTAGGATTATCTGTTGAAGCTATTTAATATTTTCAATCTTATATTTCTCAAACCACTGATCGTTTTTTAGAATTGACTATTTGTTCTTGTCCTGATTTCTGAGTGGTTAGGGTTCCAGCACAGCAACATTCCTGGCAGTATAACCCTTGCTGCATGTCATTTCTTCACTTTGTTTCTCCTCCAAATTCCTGTCTGCCTGCGCTTTCACTAACAAATAGTTATATAAAATCACAGATGAAGGGCTGGCAACTCCAAGTCATAGCGACATTGTCACTTAAATGTGTGCCATGCCAGAAAACACTATATTGTAAACTGAATAAGCTGTGCATAGATTTCATGTGAAGCTCTTATTCATGTGTAGGTATAAATTAATCTGTATTTTCTCGTTATTTTTCGTTGATTTGTAACATCCTGAAATGTTGCTTCTTGGACTTCAGATCAATAAGATCATGGCCATTAAAAAGTATCAGTAGCCATTTTTATTTTGAAGCTATCCCATTTTAGTAAGTCTCACTTTGTCATCTTAAAATTGCACAGAAGTTAATGTTTAAATTTCTTGAATAATTCAACATGAATATGTTAGATAGTATGTAGTGGCTGATTTTAATTAAAGATAGACCTCATAAAACTCTGTTGTCAGCAACACTTGCCAATAATAAAAGTCAAACTTGCCATATTGAGGTTGATGAGGTCAGTTCTACATATCTCCTCTGCCTCGCCACAATGACCCTGATGATCACTTTCATCTCTGACATCATTATAAGCTGTTTACCTCTCCAGCCGCTCCTTTTCCTCTCCCAGCTGACATAAAAAGTCGTTTGTCCAATGTGATGTCAGTGAGTGTGACTGCAGATCAGTTCGACTGAGTTGGTGACTCATACCTGTGTGCAGTTTCGCCTCAACATACACACACACACACACACACAGTTCATCCTCTTAGCTGTTTACTTTTTTTTTTCCTGTCAGGCTAATCTGGTAGCAGCATTCGAACAGAGCCTGGCACTGATGACTGCACGCTTGCAGACACTCTCAGTCTCCTCAGAGCAAAAGGTATCTTGACAATATTATAATGCTAATGAACCCGGTTCTGCCTGTGAAATCTTTGGGTTTACACTCATTTGCATAAGGAAATTTGATCTGAATCATTTATCACCAAATAAGCAAATAGTGATTCTAAATACTCAAAACATTAATAAAAAAGATGAAAGTTCAATCATTTGCTAATCTCATAAAACCTATATAGATTCTAGAGAATAACACAGGGCCAAAAGAGGTTTTGCATAATAACAGCGTTTACTAATCGTAGAGCAATTTCAGTATTTGAATTAGCATTAGATGTATGAATTTTAGTGTCATCGAAGTCATGTTTCTGTCATTGATAACGCAGCATGGCCGTAGGAACAAAAATATATTTTTGTCAACTCTTCGCCAAAGTTTATTAGAAATGGACAGCAATTCAATTTTGGAAATGGTGGACACGGCATCCTCCACATTTAGGATGAGATGATCTGTCCAGATTATTCCCAATCTGAAACGATTAGGAATAATTTGGAAAACGTGTCAAAGAGGAGCAGCTAGAATCCACCTCTGGATAAAAATAAGACAATGGTCCTCCCCCAGAGGTCTGGCAGCTTTTCTCCTCAGTTGTCACACATTTACAGGCAGGAGAGATGCAACACAGAAGATTCAAACCTTATTTTAGCTCTGTTACTGGCATCAAATTTCAAACGAGATATTTTTTAGTAAATGGTAAAATGTATCATTTTTACCATCTGCTATTCATGTTATATTTCATTTAGAATTAAATATAGGTTTACTGCATTTGAAAACCAGTGGATTGCGTTAGTTACATCTCGTGCTGCGTCCAAACTTTCTTGGATGAGGTTAGAGAGACTCCCAACCGAGAGTTATTCTGGAAATGATATGCAGGTCAGGGGTTTGCATGGCATGATTATCCGTGTTGTCAACAGCCTCTCAACACAACCCGGCAGTCTTAGTGAAAGCATTTAGACCTTCCCCAATCCTAGAATCCAAGAATGTTCTTTTAGAATTGTGGCGACCGTTAACATATTGTTTTCCTTCCTCAGGACTCTGAGCTCACTGAACTAAAGGACACCATAGAGATTCTGAAAGTCAAAAATACTGAGGCCCAGGAAATCATTCAGGATGCTCTCAGTAATCCAGACATCACACCTAAAGGTACAGAACGTTGTGCATCTAAAGAGTTGTTAAGACCTACTGTGGCCTTTTCTGCTAATATTTTATTCATTGTGTTTTTTTTCCCCTGGTTTTCAGAGCTGTTGATTAATCGTCAGAACTCTTCAGAAAGCATCTCAAGTCTCACCAGCACTACAAGCCACTCTAGTATGGGGAGTCTTAAGGAACAGGAGGCCAAGAAGAAGAAAAAGAAGAGCTGGGTAAATAAATGCTCATACAAATAATGTAATTGTGTTTAGATCACAGAAAGGACACTTCAGGAGATGCTTTTACTCTGACAGAGATGAATGATATAGTGTACTCAAAATATGTATAATTTTCTGCATACTTAAATGAACAGATTTTCTCTTAAATCATGGTTTATAGTTACATTTATATATAAGTGCATAGTTGCATAACATATGTAAGCTGTTTATGTACATTTATCAATGTTAACACCACTTTTTGTCACAGTAAATGCAGTAAAATGCTTGCGGGATACCTAATTTGCAAAGATACAGAATGACAAATACCGAATGTTAAAGTTATTAAAATATATTAATTTGTGAACACAGTTTTTAAGACTTTGTATAGACGAAAAGATATTAGAAGATGTGACTGGCCCAGAGATCGTATTTGCTGAGGACTACTATCCATGTTTATGTGTTATATTAAATATAGAAACAGTTAATCCCCCCTTTTCCTGCATGTTTATGATTATCCTCCAATCTTGTCCCTCATCTGTTAATAAGTATGACTCTGGTTTCTCCCTCATGCTGCCCTCCTTTTATTTTAGGTCTTTGAGGTGAGTGCTGTTACCACAGTAAACAAACCTTAAACCCTTCCCTGACTCTTCATCCTGCATGCAGTTTATGAGTCACACTTGTGAAACCTTCTATCTTATGTGTTTTTGCAAACTCATCAAGTCACTGTGTAACTTGTTAGCATATGACCTGAAATAATCTGTATGCGTTTGAGATATTTTAAACTGAATGGAAATAATTTGCTGTAAAGAAATTAACAGAAGCATCTTGAAAAACACTGTAGCGTTTAAAAAAATACATTTTGTTGAATGGAATTATTTAAGATCATCTTCACACTTTAACTTTGTATTTTACCTTCATATTTGTCCTGTGATTTCATTATTTACCTGTGCTTATTATACCGCAATAAGCTGGTGCATACATTGCATGGACATTTAACATGTATGTTTGTTACTGTAAATTTAACAGTAAACAAAGAAATTAACAAGTGTTACCAAAGTTACTTGTTCATTTAGTAGTTTGCACACATTTTCTCCTTCTTATCTTGGACTCACATTTCCTCTGAACAGCTGCGGAGCTCCTTCAACAAAGCCTTCAGTAAGAAGGGTTCCAAGTCTGGACCGTACGCTGATATTGAAGAGATTGCCACCCCAGAATCCTCAGCGCCATCTTCCCCCAAGGTCCACATAATTGGAGAAAACCCTCAGCAGTCAATGAAAACCCCCACCTCAGCGTCATCGTCCGGGTAAACATGTCCAAGCCATGACTGTCACTGCCATCCTGTTGCAAATATAAATTCATGTTTCAATTTGTAATAACAAGAATTAATTAGATGTACGTGTACCTTTCTTAACTGATTATCTTTAGGCTGTGTGAAGGAGGTGAGGTGGAAGATGATAAGGTTGTAACAGAGCTGCGTTCTGAGCTGTGGGAGAAGGAACGCAAACTTACAGACATCCGTCTGGAGGCTCTGAGCTCTGCACATCAGCTGGAGTTGCTGCAGGAGGCCATGAACAGCATGCAGGTGTGTGTATCAAATTGTAATAATGTGTTATTTAGATTGTAATAAACTGTGATACCTAATTTATCCAGATGGATGCAGCCACGTCTACCGTTAATACAAATTCCCTTCTTCAATGATATTAATCAATGAACAGTTCTGTGATACATTTGTTTGTCCACAGAGGACAGTGGAAAATCTGAAGGCTGAGAACGACCAGCTGAAGACAGGAGGTCTGTCCCCTTGTCCATCTCCTGGACCATCCAGCTCTGTCTCCCAGTCCTCTGGTCTCACAGCTCTGGGAAATTCATCGCCCCGACAGTCCGTAGCCGTGCACATACCCAAAAGCTTCAGCAAAGGGCTGAGTGAGGGGAGCAGCTCAGGTATAACTAAACCAAACTAAGCTAAACCAAAGTAGCACTGATTAATTAATTTTGTGCCACTGATGTCTCTTCATTTATTCTTTTTCATCTTTTATTTACTCCGCAGTCGATGTCCACTCTGCAGATTCTCTCAGTCTTTCCTCACAGAGAGATGATCATCGTGTAAGAGTCGTGGTTTGTGTTCCAGATTTACACGTCTTCAAAGATGTGAGTATGGTTCACGTTCTTTAAACATTTTTTCTTAAATGTTCTATCACTTTCTAACTTTTTAACTCTCAACAGGATGTTAAGCAGCAGGACTTTTACATCGGCACTGTCAGGGTGAATGGTAGGATGGACTGGATCATGCTGGACTCGGCTGTCAGCCAGGCTTTCAAAGTGAGATGTCTCATTCTAATATTCATTTATTGTCCATCCATTTTCTATACTGCTTATGTATAGTAGGGTGGAGGGGGGGATTGGAGCCTATCCCAGCAAACTTAAGGGGAGAGGTGGGTTATACTCTGGACAGGTTGCCATCACAGTTTCCATACATAGATGAACAACCACAAACTTAGTCATTTGCCAAGGGGGCAAATCAGAGTCCTCAATCAGCTTAACGTGCATGTTTTTGGATGTTTGGAGGAAGCCAGATTACCCTCAGGGCATCCACGCAGGCACAGGGAGCACATGTAAACTCCACACTGAAAGGTCCCAGTCCCCCTGGGAATCAAACCACTCTAACATGTTTGATGTAAGCGGATTAAGCAAATCCTGTTCTTGTTTGTGATTTTGATTTACGGTAAGTTAAACTTTTGATGTTTTGAATGGAATGGAAATCTTTTGTTAATTTTTTAGCATGTGAAGTCCAAAATTAGGCTGAAGTTGTCCTCGGCAGAATTGTTGTTCATAGCTGAAACACAACCAAGGGGTGTGTGATAGAATCGTGTAGCCTTTCAAAATCCTTATAAGATATTTTACCCCTGCAAACAGAAAAACTAATTTGCTCAGTGAAGATTTGTTTTTTTGTGCTTTTCACACCAGGTCTACATAGCCAAGGTGGATCCCACCTCCAGTCTCGGCCTTTCCACTGACTCCATCTACAGTTACAGTATGGGCCACATCAAGAGAGTGCTGGGAGGAGAGGCCCCTGAGACCCAGCCTTCTCGCTGCATGTCTCGAGGCCCTAGCAGCATCACAGTGGCTCTCAAAGGTCTGCAGTAACTCTGACGTTTAAAGTTGCGATTTAATTAAATGTCTTTTGGATTTAAATGTCTTTTTGAAACTACAAATATTTTAACTACGACTATCTTAATGAGTCTTTTCGTATTCTTTTCATGAGATTTGTTGTGACGCGTTCTTTGTCAAGCTGAAGTGTCTGAAGTGTACATCATGATTTTTATCTGCTTACTAAGACTACATTTGGATTTTTGTTTGTCGCTTCGCCAGCACCTTCGCATGCAGGAATGCATAAAGTCCTCAGAGAGCAGGGGGCACAGCAGCACCCAGGCAAGGCTAGGAGTAACATGATCTCTGAGCTGTCAGGCCCAGCTGGTCAGCCAGCCTCAGACACATGGGCCCCAAAGATGTTGAAGCAGATTACACTTCTGTATGCCTGGTAGCCTGGGGGGCTGGGTCCTCACAGAATTCCCACACTGTTTGCAGAGTTATTTTCAGAGTGAATTGCTTAAGCTTGGTGTTGCTTATGAAGGCGATGGGAGGTGACAAAAATCTGTATTCAAAACATCTTCTTACATAAGCACATTCTGTTTTTAATGGCTATGTTTTGTAGAATAGGTATTAGCACAATTCCATCCAAGCAGTTAAGTATCAAGTGTAAAACTTCGCTTTATCGCCATTTCCGATGCGTTCCAAAGTGTTAGCAGATTGTCATCGTCTTCATTTATCACAACAGCTCATCACTCTGACCATTCTCTCTGTGCTCTCGCTATGCTCAGGTTTGAAAGAGAAATGTGTGGACAGCCTGGTATTTGAAACTCTCATACCCAAAACCATGATGCAACACTACATCAGTCTTCTACTCAAACACCGACGTCTTATCCTCTCTGGACCAAGCGGTACGGGTAAAACGTACCTGGCCTCCAGGCTGGCTGAGTATCTGGTGGACCGCAGTGCCCGTGAAGTCACCGATGGCATTGTACTTACTTTCAACATGCACCGCCAGTCATGCAAGGTAACAGTAAATGATATGTCATTAAAATATCTCAACACTCTTCTTTTAGTTTCCATGCATGGACTTGTCTCACACACACTTGTCCTTTACCCTGCTTTTTCATCAGGACCTACAGCTTTGTTTGTCTAATTTGGCCAATCAAATCGATCGGGATACCAGCACAGCGGAAATCCCACTGGTTGTCATTCTGGACGATATTCATGATCCTGTTTCCATTAGTGAACTTGTTAATGGTGCTCTCACCTGCAAATATCACAAATGGTAAAATCCCGGCGCAGATTGGAACTACCTTTAAACATATACACTGCATACAAGTGTTTAAAATGACCTAAACGGTGCATTTTCTCTGCATTCAGCCCTTACATTATAGGAACAAGCAACCAGCCAGTGAAGATGACAGCAAACCACAGTCTGCACCTCAGCTTCAGGTGGGTTAGAAATTAAGGACTTGACTGTACAACTGTCTGAGTAAACATGTAGATACCGTCACAATAACATCACATCATTATTATCTTTGTAATGAGGGAGGAGTATAGGAATCTTTATGTGAACAAACTCAGTTACAAACGTGTTTTTCTTTTAACTACTTGCAAATGCCTGTTTAACCTGCTTAGGATGGTGACCTTCTCCAACAACGTGGAACCAGCCAATGGCTTCCTTGTGCGATATTTGCACAGAAAGATGATGGAGTCAGAAGATGAAGGCAGCCTGACTAATGAGGACCTCATCAGGGTGTTGGACTGGGTTCCCAAATTGTGGTATCATTTGCATACCTTCCTAGAGAAACACAGCACATCAGACTTCCTCATTGGTATGAAAAACTCCGAATTGTAGAACTGAAGAAAAAAAACTTGGTTCAATTGGAGTGTTTTATATTATTTTGTCTCCCTTTTCTCAGGCCCTTGCTTTTTCCTGTCGTGTCCAGTCACAGTGGATGAGTTTCGATCTTGGTTTATTGATCTTTGGAACCACTCTATTATTCCTTATCTACAGGAAGGTGCCAAAGATGGGATCAAGGTGAGTTCCCACATTCAACCGGGATAGTACCTGAGTCAGATTACTGAGCATTTCTGATCACTGAGCTCCTCTACAGCTTTGATATAATCATTAATCTCCCGACTGTTAAGTCAGATGACCACCACCCCTGGTCCAGGATTTGTTATAAGGTTGTCTTTTCTCTCAGCTTAGTCCAAAAGATACAGCCAAGTGTAGTCCAAAATTTTGTTTTACAACTGAGAGGGCCCTGAGAGTTACTAAACTTTTCACCTGGTGAATTAAATCCGAAAAAAATGTCAGATTTCCAGACACATTAAGGCTTCTCTCCTGCTGCTGTCTGGAACATAAGTCAAAGACTCAGACGGGTTGCAGTGCACTGGAGGACGATTGCCAGTTTATAAAGCGGGGGCGACTGGCTGTAGAGCCCTGTAGTGGCAAAGTAAAGTAGTCTGCCCCCATTTCCAGCACACTGTGCTTACAAGGGTTTTGTTTGTTAAAATGTTTCCAGTCTTCCATTTTGCTCTTTGTCCTCGCTTTCGATGATTCAGTGATTCAGTTGGTTACAGAAGAGGGATTTAATTGACACATTTCTTTTCAACATAATGACTTATAATGAACTTACAAATTAACATGTAGAGTTAAGTCCAAACCACAAATCCCATGTGGTCGATGGAATTCTTTTTAAGGTTACTTTATTTATTTTTTTCATCTTGGACTGTTGGCTTCTTTCAAATTAAGAGTTTCTTTTTTTGGCTGGCATTTTGTGACTCTCCAGGTCCATGGCCAGAAGGCAGTTTGGGAGGACCCAGTAGAGTGGGTGAGGGGCACTCTGCCATGGCCATCTGCCCAGCAGGACCAGGCCAAGCTATTCCACCTACCTCCTCCCAGCATTGGCTCCAGCAGCCCATGTCAGCCCAGTGAGGAGAGGTCTCACAAGGAGACTCCACCCAGCTCCATGGAATCTGATCCTCTGGTAGGATTACTTCCTTGAAAATGAATTCATAATCACCTTTAAAACAAATTGTTTATGAATCCTCAACTCTGTCCTTTTTTGTTGTAGATGGCAATGCTTTTGAAACTTCAAGAGGCTGCCAATTACATTGAATCTCCAGACAAGGAAGATCCAAGCCTGCCTAAACTTTGAAAACAATAACTGACTGCCAGCTTTACTTTTTTTTTTCAATGTGATCAAACAGTGCACAGTGAAGACCTTCAGAAATGGTTGTTGGCTGACTGACCAAATGAGTTTGAAAGTATAACCTGTGAATACCAAATTATTCTATCACAGCATGAACAGTAACTCTGTTCACAAAAAAAATAATAGTATTTTATCTAATTATATTTAACACTTTACCACCACCTTAGCCCATTGTACTTTTAGATTGGTGCTAGCAGATAACTATAAAATTCATTTTCTCAGTATTCTGACTTCAGGGGGTTTCTGCAACAATACACACCGTCCATCCTGTTTCCTTCACAAGTGCATAATGGGATGTTGAGTCCCCATCAAATGGCGCTATTCTTAATTAATGTTAACCTTTTTGGAAAAGAGTATGACAGCATAACAGACCCTACTGTTTATGACTATGTTCTTTGGTACATATCTGCTGTAAAAGGCCGTGCTTACACATATGCAATCCTGGATTTTACAGCCTGAGCAGGTCAAACAAATATGCCTTAAGAGCAAAGACGTCAATGTCATCTCAGCGTCAACAGACACAACTGGTGCTTTCATTATTATCATCCAAACCACTCTTTCCCAAATCATGTATTTCTTAATAATAATCCTATTTTAATTCTTAATTGAAGTTTATTTATTGTTTTTGAAAAAAAGTTGCTCAGTTCTCTTCAGTCAATTTAACGTGCAACTTGTTAGCATATTTTTTTTCTTCATCTTCTTGTGATAATTGTTGTGATTTATAAGGTAATGATTTTACTTTATACTGTCATACTCTTTTAGATACAAATATTTATCAGTGGTCTGAAGTGATCACTCTGTTGCTGCTGAAACAACATTTTTTCCAAGTACTTAAATCAGTTTTATTTTACGTCAGACATTAAGCAGCAACAATGCTGCTATATACAAATATATATATATACAGAATATATATGCACGCACATAAACATATAAACTGACTACACAGGGATAAAATAACATAAGGTACCCTTTTATGAATACAGAATCAGCAAACGCTCACTGAATTTAATTCAGATCATTTTTCTTTAATGTTTCTCTGAGATAGAGCACAGTTGTTTCAGGTGATTCCCCTAACGATCATGTATAAATATGTACATACAATCAGGATGCATTGCAGTTCCTTAATCTGCGTTAGTTGGTGCAAGTATCTTCTATAGTGAACCAAATGCTTTACTTTGTTCACGCATATTGACTGTCAAGATAAGGGTTTAAACTTCAGCTATGAATGTATATAAATCATTAAAAGAACCATATAACAGTATGATGTAGTAGGTGCTTTCAAAGGGAGCCTTTATAAAGTTGTTCAGCAAATCACATTTACGACATGACTCTACTGCTAACATTCACGCACTTCACAAACAAAATGAACAATCTCTCTCCACTAATGATTTAACCGTCATTTAGGGATGTATGGTGCTCCATTAAAAAGAAAAGAAATAAAAATGTCTCAGACTGTTTTAGAATTGTGCAAGTCCCTTGGTCACAGGGTAGTTAGCAAAGAATTGTATGTCATTTTGTGACAGTACGTAGAGACGACAAAGTCGTGAGATGATGTTAGGTGTATACCCAGGTCAGTGTCGTACAGTTCATTGAGAGCACTTTGGGTAAAACGCAGAAACAGTTTGTCTTTAAAGAATTCAGTTAAAAAAAAAAAAAGTAAAAACGTTATAAAGTGTTGTGTACATTTTGTGGAGAGGCCCTTGTTGAGTAAATGAAAGATGAGGCATTTGGTTGTGTGAGTGGCATTGAAGTATCATCATTTTGAAGTGGTTGTAGTTTCAGTGCTCAGATAGTCGTCAGATAAATAATCCTGTAAATGAATGTCACAAGACACCTTGAAAAGATCATGAAACAACGGCTACAGACTTAACTGCCCAGCAGGTAACTGGCTGACTTAAAAAGATGACTGAATTCAAAATGTAAATGAGCAAAGAGGATGCCAAGTGGATTCCTTACTGTAAATATTTCAGGTACTGGACAGTTTCACTAACCCTACATTAATCTACTTCTGCAGGTTAACTTAAGCCATCAGCTCTAGCTTCTCATCCCATTTACTGGTTGTTGTGCCTGTTGCTCTGTAGTAGCTGTGTTTTGTGTTTGCTTATTAGTGTATCACGACTATGCAGCAACTTCTACTGGTGTCAGCAATCGGCAAATGTCTGAACTTCACAAGTTGCCGCGGTGTGTTTTCATCTGATCTTTCTTTGAGTTCCTGATTTGGTCCAAGAGCTTGAAGTGGAAGAGTGTTTTGGCTGGTGGACCTTAGCCTTAAAGAGAGGAAGATTTGGTTGGTGTGAGACAGAAAACAGGGTTCATACATGTAAAGTCCTTGAGCTGCTTGATTTGATGATATAACTCCAGTTGTTTATGGTGAATAACGTGAATAGAAAAAACTATGTTTTGACAGCAAAACAAAAATATTCAAGGTGGCATAAATCAGCTCTGGCTGTTTGCATTATTCATGTTAGATTAAAAAAAGCTAAACCAGAATAAGAATTAGAATATCATGACTTAGGCCAATACAGGTTGCTGAATAGTCAACTTTTGCAATGCTCATTGTGGAATTTAAAAAGATTTTAAATAAAGTTATGCTCTATAATGTCACCAATGTGCAAATGTTAAGGGTTTAAAAGTGTTTCCAATGCATGTAAAGTCGCTATGTGATGAGACGAAAAATGTCAACATCAACCTATTGTTTAGAAAGATCATTCTCGATAATGTTTTCTAATACTCAGATGTTTGATATTTCTTTCCTTTTTTTCTAAAAACTCCTTTGTAAAAATTAATTTCTCTATTTTGTACAGAGCATCGTTGTAAAGACTGTAAATACTTTAGCTCAGCATTCTGAATGCGGCAACAATCATTGAGGAGGAAAAGAAATATATCCTTGAGAGAGAGATGTGTTTCTTGAAAGTTGGGTGTAATACATGGACAAGGCATGCCTCTGAAGGCTTTCATCCACCTATCACTGTTTGTTGGAATTAATAAAATACATGTTATATTTACTCTTTCTGCTCTGTGTGTGTGCCAACATGACAGTGTCGATCTGTGGACACGTCTAGTTTTTTTTTTTTAATAAGACCACCCTACATGTAGTGGAACAGTTAATATTGTCCAGTGACTGTTAATGAGTGAAACAGACGTGGTGGTCTGAGTCATCCATGGCGCTTAGTATCCATTACAATCAGTTCATCGGGGGGCGGCGTCTGACCCCCTCGGAGCCTTATATAAGCCTGTCGACCCCCTAGGAATGATGGCATTGGATACAGTTTGAAGGACTTAACTAAGTTGGGAATTAGCTGCGACCTCCAACATGCCGTCCAAGCCTGCCCCCATCAAGAAGGCGGCGAACAAAGAACCAGCCAAGAAGGAGGAGGCGGCCGACCCGGCTGCTGAAGCGGCTCCAGCTCCAGCTCCAGCCGAGGCCGCCCCCGCTGAAGCTGCCCCGGCCCCGGAGGAAGCTGCCCCGGCCCCGGAGGAAGCTGCCCCGGCCCCGGCGGAAGCTGAGGCGGCCCCGGCTGAAGGGGAGGCGGCCCCAGCCGCAGAGGGTAAAGCCTTGTGCGCAGGGAAAGCGCGAGCCAAGAGCCGCCATCCCATAATCTGCCTAGAGTCCAGCCCCAGTTTTATTTCACCGTGGACGAATTTGGGATTTGTTATTGAGAAATGTATATTCATGTCCATTTTGATTTTGTGCCACTGTGGCCACGCGGTAACCTTTTACGCACGCGCGCACTGCGTAAAAAGGCCATTAGAAGCTGCGGTCACTGCATTACCACACGGAAATGGTTTGATTGCTCCATTAGTCACAGCTTTAAGCTTCTTTTCACCTCAGGGAAAATTTTCTGCTAGCAAATCTGTGATGCCCATCAGGCTACTAATGCATACCGAGCCGGCATTAATAAGCCCGAGAAACCTGCCACAGCGACTACTTTTAATGCTCCTTGCTGACTAAAGATGTGATTCTATTTCTAATATCTAACACCTTTCCAGGAGACATTCTAACACATCAGCCACTTGCACTTATTAAGATGCTACTCCGGTTACAGCTCATAATCCAGCTATGTCTCCCCGGTTGGAATGGGTCTTAACTTCTTTCATACGGTTTTGAAAATGTTTGGTGATATTTTCAAAATTTGATGAATACTCTGATTATTATTTTCTAACCTCCTAACATCAGCCCCCGCACCTGCTGAGGTACCTGCTGCTGCAGAGGTACCGGCTGATGGTATGGAGAATAGCAGCTATCGGATTAATACGCGTTGAACCTTCTATATCTTACAGAAAAAGCAAGCCGTACTAATAAATAATATCCTCTAACCTCTCTAACATCAGCTGCTGCACCTGCTGCTGAGGAGTCACCAGCTGCTGCTGCTGCTGACGTCCCCGGTGATGGTATAAAGACAAATGCATGAATAAATCTGACACAATCAGCCTCCAGCAAAACCAGCTATACTAATACATAATATTCTTTTAATCCATAATATCAGCCGCCGCCCCTGCAGAAGAAACACCTGCCGCTGCTGAAGTTCCAGCTGATGGTAAAAAAAAAAAAAAGGGCAACATCACTTGTCCTTTTTTTTTTCAATTTTAGGATTTGAACCGTCATCCTCTTCTGAAAAACTAGTAGCCGTAACTGACTTCGTCAGACTTGCTATATTCTGCAGTCCTGCAGTCCCAGTATACACATATTGGTCTTTTAAAAAAACAAGTGTCCAGCTTTTTTTGCACTAACTACTACTCTAACATTTAACAATAGCCGCTGCTGCTCCAGCTGCAGAAGAAGCTGCTCCTGCTGCAGAGTCTGAAGCCCCCGCTGATGGTAAACCAACCTCTGAAAATATGTTCCAGCTCATTCTCTTTTTTTCGAGTGAATGAGACAGTTTACTCATTCGAGATAAACTGGGCAAAAAAACTCTAACACAGATTTTTAAATATGTAAATCTTCAAGTGATATAAGTTAAAAAAAAACAACACCTGATTCCATTTGTTGATGTCGCGCTGATCATTTATTCCCCCGACAATGATACAAATATCTATGTAACGTCAGGTGCAGCTGCTGAGGCCCCAGCCCCAGAAGAGCCTAAACCACCAACGCCTCCAGCACCTCCACCTAAGGGTAATCATCTCTTTTGAATGAAAATGACATGTTTTTAGTGTATTTATTTCTGTTTATGTCTGTTTGTTTTTCTTGGCTTCCTCAGAGCCAACAAGTGCTCCCGTGGATCTGTTTATTGAGGACAAAAATGACACTTCTGTTACCATCATCTGGAGTCAGCCTGAGACTATTGGGGACTCTGGCTTGGACGGATACGTTATTGAAATCTGCAAAGACGGAGGTGAGTCCGCTGCACGGCGAGCCAGGTGCGCCATATGTTAGCGTGGGCACAAAAGGAATTAGCCAGGGGTATTAATACATCATGCCCTGACAGCTGATCTTTGAATTATTTCTGGTAGACTTTGTGTGAACAGCTGATTTAATTTCCTGATATGTGCAAATGAAAAACCAACCTCCGTTTTCCACGCAACGGCTTATAGTTAGTTGTTTTTATATACACTCTAGAAAATGGGAAATTGCTGCCATAATGTGGGTCGTCCGTAGCAGTTGCAGCTGTTCCTGAGACGTCAGTCGTAGAGTTATATCATGAGCTTCCTAACTTCTCCCTAGAAGGACAGAGGCATGTCAGGAGCTGCTGTAGACTTGCTAGAGGTCCTCCTTTTAGACTTACAGTGCTAAGTTAAACTCAGCAGCACTTAAGTATAAACTTGATGTAGCGTGCAGTTATTTTATTTCGAATAAACAAATCTTCTAAATTGATCATCGGGCTTAATTACGGATATCTCTGCAGGCACCGAAGATAGAATCTTGCATGGCAAATTCATGACTTGTAATGGAATCCCAAAATTGTTTGTGCCTTTGCTCCTTCAAAGGTCCATGTGTCAGTTGCTCCTCATTCCCATAAGAAAACAGCCTAAGAGGCTATAAAAAGGCACAGGGCCCTATGTTCAAAGATAGAAATCGGGCTAAGAAATCTAAAAGAAAAGTTAAAAAAACACAAAACTGAAAGATGTTGCAACAGAAGTCCTTCAAACTAGCAGGACTCCTAAAGTCATTACTTTGACTAAACCCTCTCATTACTAACACATTTAAATTTTGAGTAAAATATGTCATTGTATGTTATGTATGTTGATAACTAAATTATTAGTGACACAAGCCTTACATGTTCATAAATGCACTGAAATTTGTACCAATGTTTTGATTTAGATCAACTGATTCCAGACCCAAAAATGAAAGAAAATATATTATTTGTTTTACACAAGCATTAAAAGACACATAGTTGTGCTTTGAAGTGCAGACTCCGACCTAAGAACAAGTTTAAAATCAGTGAGTTTTCACAATTTATCATTTTAATGAATTTTTTATTTTTCTACCTTCAAGAATAGTTGGTTAATGAGACCCGGGGTCTGTATTTATCAGTGTTGATCCACCTGCTGGAAATTCAACATCTGGCTCAGTTAACTTTGTCCTCTTTCGTTGTGTGTATTTATCCCTTTTAGCTGATGACTGGAAAGCAGTTAATGAGGAACTGCAGAAGTCCTGCCGCTATGTCATCAAGAACCAGACTACCGGCGACCGCCTGAAGATCCGCGTGGTCGCCGTGAATGAAGGAGGCCGCAGCCCCCCCGTCGCCCTTCCCGAAGCCGTGCTGGTGAAGGAGGTTGCTGGTAAGAAGTGTCTGCACGGAGAGCAACTGAAAGTTATTTTAGACTGAAGCATTTCTGAGAAATGCACATTTTTTTTATATCCACAAACAGCAGGAGAGAAAAAGCCTTCGGGCAGACACGTTGCCTCTGTGTACAGTCTGAGCATTTAGCCCCCACGCCAATTCAGAGTAGACAACATTTCTTCAGCAGTACGTGGTTGGTGTTATGTGATAATTCATTGCTGAAGTGGGCTAAAAGAGAAACGGAACACGACGTTGGACACATTGGTCATTACAGTACGGAGCCGTTCATCATCATTCCTCACGGCCATTTGGAGCTGTAAAGTTTAGGAGTCCTGCCGAAGCAGCTCAGCAATGTTTTGCTCTCGTCTTTCCCTGTGCCATTGGCACATGGCTGCGGAGTAGATGGTGTAAAACCATGGAGATCGCACTGATCCGCCATGCCTCAGTGCGAAAAGTACACGCCGCGCACCTGACGGTGTTAATCACTCACAGTGTATCTGCAGTGATTTGTGGTAAAATGATGATTGGACCCTGAGGGCTTTAAGAAGAGGGGCTGTGTTACTTTGGCTCACACTTAGATCACGGTAATGCGTAACGGAGAGCCGGACAGGGACGGGGGGGGGGGAAAATTGCTCCCGGCCGGAAGGGGGGGAATTCCCCGCCCGCCCCCCCCCCAAACGCCATGCCCCCCCCCCCCCCCCCCCCCCCACCCCCCCATCGAACAACTTATAGGAATGGTCTCTGATAAAACAGGAGATAGCTGAGATGTCCTCGCTGTTAACAGTTACTTTTCCGAGGAGGGATTGGCATTGGCATTGCGATTTCCCTCCGACGTTAGAGCTGAGGGGAGCACCGGGCTCTTCTCTGCGGGATCCATGGTGTCAAGTGATCCGGGCCGCAAGCTGTGAGGGGCTCTGGGGCAGAGGAACGAGGGGGTGGGTGGCGAATTCCTGTGGGTTGTGCCTCTGGGTGGGTCGGGGTGGGGGGTGGGTGGGTATGGCTTCTCGAATGTCGCCCCCAAATCTCATGACAGCTCCCGAGATTCCCTGTTTATTTTGAAGCGTGCCACGGACTTTACAGGGAAAATGCTCATAAAGCCTGATCCGTCCCGTTAGAAGTGATAACGCACGCAACACGCTGAGGGGTTTTATCATTTTACAGACTTGTCTCATTTTGTGTTTACTTTTTCACACCAAATACGGTAAAAATATTCTGCCTTTAGGCTCCAAATAAAACTTTTCTGGGTCTAATGCTGTTTTTTTTTGTAATGATTTGACAGCATTCAGATGTAATTGAATCTCAAAAATCGCGTGTCATGTAGAGAGGCGATACACGGAGCTACAGTATCCTCGCTTTATTTAGAGTCCTGACAAATGTTGCTGTGCTGCACTCAGCAGGTGGTGAGCAGCACCGAGATATTTCCAAGTGTCTCAGAGGCTTTGGCATCTTTTCAAAAGTCTCAGTGGCTAACTCTCCATGTAATTCTGTTTTAATGAGAAATTTTGGGCTATTTTGGGCCTTTTACGAGATGATACTCAGTAGAGAGAGGCGGGGAAACATCGAGGGGGAAAAGGGCAAGAGGATATGAGGATTTGTGCCTCAGGTGCACTCTGATGCATTTCAGTAGCACACCATTTACCCATAAAATGATAGCTGTAGCTCAGAAAGTTTGCGCTTTCCTTGGCAAAGAGCTAGCTTTCCATTTATATATCTGGTCTGTTCTGCTGCATATTAACGACAACTTGAATTTTGTCAAAAAATGTTCCAGTTATTATCAGTTATAGTTTAGCCGGTGGTACTTTAAACGCATCTAGCCGACGCTTTCCTATAAAGCGACTAACAAAGATATTGGAGAATTCCCTAGTAAGCAATGTAATTTCAACCCGGAGTCGTTCTTCTCATGCAGTCCTATTCTCTGCTACTGTTAATCATTAAGTAGTCTAAGCACCATTACTGTGCAGATTTAACTCTTCAGTATTTTGTTTTTCGACTTGTCTCGACTCTAAATCCAGCATACATTGTCATATCACATGTCTTTATTTTCGATAAATGAAAGTTTATTTCTTCTTTTCCGACACTCTTTAAAATCATCCATTGTGGCTGGGGTTTGTTTTAGATCAAACCACTTTCAGAAAGAGCAGCATTCTGCTGCTGAGCCAAGTTTCTGTCAGATCGCGCAGCAATTGCTTGTTTCCTGTTTTTGGACCGATGTAAGAATTGGCCGGAAAAAAGTGGTTAGAATTAGCCAGCCTTTAGCTTCATCAGCAGCCCGGCCCTCTCACGCCTCGGTGCACACTGTCTCCTCCTGTCTCTGCACAGACAAATCTTTTTCCACCGGGGCACTCCTACGGGCTCCGTGTTCCCCTCAGTTGGCATTAATCTGCCAAGCATCTTTGGCATCCTTGTTCTCTCAAAAAAATGGCAGCCGCCAAGCCAAGACGCATACTGACAGAACAGGCATGGCAGTGCAGGAGGGGCAACGAGTAGGATGCCATTCATTCAGTACGAGTCGGCGAGTGTTTTGAAGCTGTCAAGCTCTTTCAAGGTCATTTTAATAGCTTCAAACAAACTGTCACAAAGGCCTAAACTTTGATCGAATACGTACACGCTCTGAATGCGCAACATAGTGTTGAGGAAAAGTGTTTTATGGCATGCTCCGATGTGTTAGCCAGCCCATTTTTGACGTGGTATATTAGCATCAGAATGAAGGAAGCAGTATGTCTGGCCAGATATCTTTCCCCAACCCTCAAAAAATACAGCAAAACCAACAGTCTCCATATTTAAGAATGAGGTGCTAAATGTGTTAAAGCAGCACGCTCATATATACATCAGCATAAACAGGTTAACTGACTCTCTCATGTACAGTAGTTGTTCCTAAACTTTAGTGTTGAAACTGCTCAGTTTGCAGTTTTTACAAAGCACCCTGAGAAACAGCAGAGTGTTGATTCAAATGGACGGTTTCTGTCTCTGTTCTTTCTTATAGACCGTCCCAAAGTCCGCCTGCCTCGTTTTCTTAGGCAGAGATACGTCGCTCACGTTGGAGACAAGATCAACCTTACCATCCCCTTCACAGTGAGTGGGGGAACCTCTGTAATTTATGCAGGAAAAAAAAAACTCTCAAACAAAGCATCGGGACTAGCTATGATAACGATGTTTGTTTGCCTGTTCGGTTTTATAGTGTTTGTTGGTTCTGTTCCTCAGGGGAAACCCAAACCTGTGGTGTCCTGGACAAAGAACGGCGAGGCTCTGGACACTAAGAGGGTGAACATCCGCAGCAGCGACAGAGACAGCATCCTGTTCATCCGTGCGGCCGAGAGAGATGACTCCGGAACGTACGAGATGTGCGTGAAGGTGGACGACTTTGAAGACAAAGCCCCCCTTATCCTTCAAATTGTCGGTGAGCAACATTTTTGCAACTGCGAGACGACATATGTAGTAAAAAAAAATGAATAGATTAAAAAAAACTCTGGTTCTCAATCCATTGTCCTTTGATCGCAGAGCTCCCAGGACCTCCAGCCAGTGTGAAAATTGCGGACACATGGGGTTTCAATGTTGCTCTGGAGTGGACTCCACCCAAAGACAACGGCAACACTGAGATCACAGGTTACACGATCCAGAAGGCCGATAAGAAGACTGGAGTAAGTTGATTTTTGGGTTGGAAAGATGGTGATGTGTCCGTCTGATGGCTTCCACCCTGACCTGCCGTCGTGGCTGTTGTGTGTCCGCAGGACTGGTTCACCGTGTTGGAGCATTACCACAGACTGAATGCCACCATCTCTGACCTCATCATGGGCAACACGTACAAGTTCAGAGTGTTTTCTGAAAACAAGTGTGGAATCAGCGAGAATGCCATCGTTACAAAGGAGGAGGCCAAGATCTTGAAGACGGGTATGATTTTGAATGACTTATTGTCTTGCGACAGATGTCTCCAGTGAACAAGGAACTGGCTCAATAATGACGAGGGATTTTGTTTTGTTTTTACATATGATTTTACAAACAGCCCGTTGGGGGTCTTACTGAAAATACTGTGCTTTCAGAGAAAAAAAATAGTTCTTGAAGAGCTTTTTTGGGATGTAACTTGACTGATTAAAATCCTGTTTGTGAGTGACTGAAGACCCTCTGAGGTCATCTGATCAGAAGATTCCCTCACATGTACCATGTTTTACTTATTTTTTTATATCCTTCATTCTTCTACCCATATTTTAGTCCTTCCCACATTAAATGGAGGAGCTATAGCGACAGAGTAGATTCAGCAAGCAAAATGAGGCTGACATCAGTGGAATATCATTTCTGGGACAGCTGTACTATCTTTCGTTTGTTTTGCAGACGAAAGATTTTTGTATCCTCTGTGAATCGCCGGCCTACAAATGAACTCATACGTATGTGTGATTACTCACCCATGGATCCTCTGATGGGCTTTGTTTTGTATCCCTCCTTGAGATGATTTTTTAAGACACTAAGACATCCTTCAACTTTCAGAGACATGCTGGGGAACAAATAGCAGAATAAGGAGATTCAACAGAAAACAAACCCAGTGGGTTTTAAATTCACTTTCAGGCTTTTGATGTGATGGTTTGGTCTCGTTTTTGTGATTAGATGTGTTTTTTATTGAAACAGTTTATGGATATTTGATCATATTCAGTAGAATGGGAACAGTGTATGGTTTTTAATAAGTGCTCTTTGTGAAGTGTTGATGGTTTGGTATTGTTTGTAGTTTAACGATATATCATGTAAGCATTAGCATGGAGAAAGCCACTTACCTTGAACCACATGTGGCTGTGTCTAGTTCTGCAAAAAAAAAACGAGTAGCGCTTAGGCCAAATGTAAAAAGACAGAGCTGATATAGAGGGTGTAGATTTAGGACCATGCTCTCCTCTCTGGATGCAATTGACCAAGAAAAAGCAGAGAGTGTTATAGTTTGTGAGGTCACAGTGGAACCGTTAGCAACGGAGAGCAGCATCCACCATTAGGAGAGTAATAAAATGCAATGGGGTGCGTGGCAGGGCTGAAAGGAGAGAACACTGCTGTCGGTGGACAGAGAGCACTGGAGCAACTCGGCTATTAAGTCCCTGACTTATCGTTAATCTGCCAAAGGTGCACAGTGGGAACTTTTTCTCTTTCTTTTCCATTTCCCAGGTATTGAGTACAAGCCTGCAGACTACAAGGAGCACGACTTCAGCGAGGCGCCCAAGTTCACCACGAACCTGAGCGACAGGTCTACCACCGTGGGCTACAGCACCAAGCTGCTCTGCTCCGTCAGGGGATTCCCCAAGGTGCATTTTCTGCTCTTTATGGCTTACGTGGAGCTGAAAGCTTCAGTCAATGGAATCAGAGGCGAATATGAGCCATTGTTCTGACCGCGTATTCCACATTTATCAGGATCAGTTAAGGAGCTCGAAAAGAAAAAAACACACAAGCAAACCTAATTGGTGTGTACATTTTTTTTTTTTTTATCCAGCTTCTCTATATATTAAAGGTTTTGAATCATGGGATTGTGTTGGACCAGCAAGGCCAACTGCAGAGACATTACTCAGGCTACCTGTCAGCAGCAATACATTCCCCCCCATCATTTGCATTGTCGTCAGAGTGCCGGCTTTTAGCTGACAATGTGGAAGATTTCCACAAGCCCCCCGTTAGCCCGCTGCCTAAGCCTCTCAACTCCTCTGTGGGCTCTAAAGCCACCGGGTCACCAATAGCTCAAATGGTGAACTGTATTTTTTCTAAGCCACGGGAGAAGCAGAGGGCACCATAAGGAGCTGGGTCGCATGATTAACATTCTGCATGGGGCCCCAGGAGATCCTGACCATATCAGTGCCTTTTAAACTCGCATACCAGGAAGGAGCTGTGTGCCTCCTTTAATCATAAAGTCACTTTGTCTTGTCTCTGTGTGACTCTGTGTGCGTAAATGCGAAGAGCACTGCTGATGTATTGTTTTGTTATTTTTAAGGATTGGTTTTTCCCACAGACTTAGATAAAAGCCCCAGGAGGATGAGATTTAACTTTTTTTTTCTAGCTTAAAAAATAGGGGGAAAAAGTAGTAAAAATAGTAAAATAAATTAGTCAAATAGCATCTGACAAAATGTGATCATTTTCATCTTACCACTGAAAATGTGCTGACTGGACACAGTAGCACAGCTAGAATTAATACTCATTTATTTTTTTCCTATCAGCAAAAGTGTGTGTTGTTGTGGAGCAGCATTTATGTATAATTGTGTCAATATTCCCATTCAGTGTTACTGCTGGAATGCCAGGTCAGCCACCTAAAGGTTTAGTTTTTGTCTGAGCAGGATGGTATTTAGATGTTTTTATAGGACATTTTATGACGTGTTTTTTCAACTTTGATTGATAGATTTGCTGTTTTCATAAAAATATATATATATATTTTTTACAGCCCAAGGTTGTATGGATGAAGAACCAGATGATTATTGGAGATGACCCCAAGTTCAGGCAGATCTGCGTGCAGGGTATCTGTTCTCTGGAGATCCGAAAGCCCGGCAACTTTGACGGCGGCGTGTACTCCTGCAAAGCCAAAAATGATCACGGAGAAGCGCTCGTCAGCTGCAAGCTGGAGGTCAAACGTAAGTACAGATCGTACGGCTGGACAGACATCTGAGATATGTGCTTTGTTTGGCTGTTTTTTTTTGCGTTTCTAAACGTACTGAACTTTCTGTTCTCACAGAGCCAGTGCAGCCAGATGCAGAAAAGAAATAGATGAACATCCTCACTCTCAAAGGTCAGAAAAATGTCTTATTTGCAAAATGTACACTCTATGAGAATTTCCAGACATCTGGAATTAGAAAACCAAACACCATACAAATCAGGAGCAATACTCCCTTGTTCTGCAGTTGTACTTTATACGTATGACACAAATGTCAAGCTAGTGAGACAATTAAATTGGATCTATTTCACGAGGTGACCTATACGAGCGCCGAGGTGAGACCAGCTTCCTCCATGACTTGTTGTCCATACATGGAGGTCACTAAACTTGGAAAAGGTGGCCTCTGCTACTGAGAAGCACCCATAAATTAAATCTGTAATGCCTCCGGGTGCGCTCTGTAAGGACACTTAATCACATTTCCCCAACTCAGCAGCAGCAGGACCTCCGTCCGGGACACCAATTTACTGGTGTGTTAGTAGAATTTGTTAATATACAACAGCTTAATAACTGTGTTTAAACATTTAATGCTGTTTTTTTTTACACCATCTAATTTCCTGTGATTTGTTCAAATCAGGAGCCGAGTGAACGAGGCCTTTGCAGCATGAGGTGTGTGACGCTATATATGTTTATCAAACAGCTTTCTGCAACAAGTTTGAACACATTTTTAAGTTTTATTTATTTCTCTTTGCCACAGGAAGGATTCCTGGAAGAACATGCACATATGGCTGGTGACCATACTGCCAGCGTGTTGTAGCCTGTGATCTCTTACCGAGTGTGAACATCTGTTGAGATGAACAATTATTGTCCATCGCTTCATGCCTAAATCTAAACATCAAGTCCATATCCATGTCCATACTCTTTTCCATCCGTTTTTTCCAGTGGTAACTACACTGACATGTTTAAAAAATATTGTGCCCGCCTACTTTATCATCCTCTCAGTCTTACTCGCATGAATTTACTGTTCCTCATAGGAGAGCTACATGTAACATCTACGTGTTTATATCAATAAACTATTTAATTTCTGGTTTTGCCTTTTCAATAAAGTACAATTAAGTCACTTTGGAGATCTATGACAAAGCAGCTACTCTTAAGTACACTTTAATAGTTAGTACTTTGCTGTAAGTTTAGTATTTCTTCAAAGATTTTGTTTTAATTCAGTTTTATTAAACTTTATTCATGCAATTAAAAAGTTAAGCTGATACAAGCCGAAAAATAAAACAAAAAAACATAATAAAACATGCATAAAGGCATATACTGTACAAAAGCTGTGAAAACTGTATTAGTAAGGAATGTTGGATGTTCAACAACTTGAGTATATTCATGTTCTTATCTGTTAAATTTCAAATGGTTCAAATGGATGCTTTCTCTAACATAATTTACATTTCCCTCATCGTGTAAAGGCATAAACAATTTCTCAAAGGCAACATGCTTAAAACATTTAGAAAAACATTCTTTTGACAGGACTGATAAGTAGAGTGCAGCTGTAACGTCAGACAGATTAAGTTGCTTTCCACTTTAGTGTTTTATGTCACTCAGCTGCTGAATGCATTGAGCTTTTTGGCACTAGATCAGTAACAAACTGGAGACAGCAGTACCATTCATTTGGCTCATACTGACTAAAGACCGCATCCATAATAATACCACAATATAATACAGATCTTGTAACTATTTGGTCTTGAAGTTACTTGCATAGTGATAAGGGCAGGGTACCAGAGATATCCAGGTTACAGAGACACATGGGTTCACCCAGAGGCTGACAAAATTAGCCCTGGTACTCCATCTTGTTCAGGTTATTTTAGGGACAAGTGGCTCAGCTGGCAAAAAGTATGAGTTACCTTAACTGAAAGAGGGTTGGTATGACTAAAGAGGAAAAAGCAAAGGCACAAATGTAAGAATGAAGAGATAATTACCTTCAGATGAGAGAATTATGAGGGAATTACATGAGCTAGGTTCCTGTGAAAGAACAAGGTTTGTCATTAGTGGACATCCTGATTAAAATTGTTTGGAATGAATGACTTGTGAGAGCCTAATCCTTACAAATTGCCCCAGTTCTGCAGATCCTGCTAAAAATGGACAAATAAATTACTGGAAAATGATCTGACTCTTTGAGTGTGGCGCCCTCTAGTGCTTCAGTATATTAACGACAGCTGCAGATGGATTGAAAATGGAGGATGGAATGTATCATCTCCATTAACAAGTAAAAAAAAATAAAAAGAAAATTTGGAGAAAATTAAACAAACAACAAAACATATTGGACTAGAAGGGATCATTTGTAATCAATATTTTGCAGAGCATGATTGATAATTTTTACCTGCCTTCTGTTAGGTAGTTGAATAAGTGAGTAGTATAGCTTTAACCTGTGGGCTATGAGCCATATTGGGTCTCAGGCCTACTTCCATGAGGTCCCTGGATGCTGCTGACATGCTGCAAAAGGGTCATGGAACAAGAGATTTCCACATTTAGATCATGCTGAAAAGGTTTCTAATTCCAACGAAAGGCACTATAAAATTGACTGATAAACAGCAAGGGCCTTCCAAAAATGTGCTAACTACTGCAACTAAACTCTTAATATTTAAAACAACATGGACAATTGAAAAATCAGAGACAGCACATAGATGGACTATATAACTATAACCTACTTTCTTCAGAAGTGCAGGTGGCTTACAATTTTGTGTCACGAAAAACAAAAGGCTGTGATTTGAAAAAAAAAACATTCAGATTTTATGCCAGAAGTAGTAAAAGAAAAAAAAAAAATGGGCAGACAGAGGCACGTTTACTGACGTGTGACGTTACTTCTACGTCTCTGTGGTTTGAAAGTCATAACAGTTCTGAGAAAAAAATCCTAAACCTGAACTATTTATTGTGAAAACACTGGAAGATCATGCCCATTGTTGAGAACCACCACTGGTTCATCCCTTTGGTTATCAGCCCATTTAACTCTCAAACAATTCATAGGTCAGTAAATGCAAATGCAGTTAACAGCCAAGAAAAACAGATAAAAGAAAACCTGAAATCTGTCTGACAGGAAGCAACAAATATGAAGAAGTTTAGGATGTGGGGCTCAAGTCATTCAACATTTTCAATATCATGAGAGACAACAATCGTGACGCTGCCTACCTTCTCAGTGCCCAGCTGGACACGTCCTTATAAGCAGCTTTATCGAGCTGTGGTCTTGTAAGCTTTCTCTCCTCCCCCTTACATAACTTTTTAATGTGTGATTCACCTTTATGAAACCAGACCTACACAGCTGCTCCAGGCATACGTTTCTGCCGCTAATATCCATGCAGAATTACCTCTGTGTCTTCCCCTCATCTGTTACAATTTCTCGCATTATAGTTCAGCATGCAGCAATCAGAAAGGAATCCTCTGGCTGAATAATTGAATTCAAATAAAGTCATTTCTCCCTGTCATGCTGCCCTCCAGCAGGAATGTCAGCAAATAATGTAAAGCTCGTAAAAAAAAAAAAAGAAGCCGAACGCTTTAGTGATGCGGCATCTCTGACTCATGTGATGGTGTGGCTCGATCGGTTGGTGATACATCGAGCAATGACTGGTCACTGCTTTGTCAAGGGTAAAGTCAAAGGCAATGAAATGATGCGTCCCTCTTGAAGGAAGCCTGGCTTCCTTTCTCCCTCAGAGTTTTGGCAGCGTTCCCAGAAGTTCCAATAAGTGTAATGGTGAATTTGGCAGTCTCCCGGGTGTCATGTCATTGCTTTTCATTAACAAATGCTTCATTTTCTAAATCATCCGGACAGACTGCCCGAGCACACTTTAAATTTGCGTCACATTCGAGCTGTTAAGGAGAAGAGATGCAACTGTTGAGTACAAAACAAAGGTATCTTTGATTTAGCTGAAATGTGAAAGGTGTTTTAAGACACTGCTTTTGGGTCAGACTCACACTTTAGCCTCAATTTCCTATTTGCCATAGTCCTATGCATTAAATCTGATTTATTCATTTAGGTTAGAATTAGTTTAAATGGAGACAACTGGAGCACAAAGCGCAGGGATACTATTTTTTCCAGGTTTCGTGTGCAGAACACAGTATTACTTAACGTTTGCATTGTTTCTGGAAAATCAAAGTGACAGCCTCCCCTATGATGCAGCGGGAGTACTTTCTGTGGCTCCAGCTGCTAATCCCCCCTTCTGCTCTCCTAAATTATTTACTGGGGTACACATCTGATGTATGTGAGCGAGCAAAGGAGGAGCCACTGGTTAGTTGCCATTTCTGTTGGGTCCTGGTGGAAAAAAAGAAAAAAAAAGAGAGAAAAAAAAAAAAAACAGTGTCCCATCTGCCTGCCTGTACACTGCAGCAAAACTAGCCCAAGTGGGCCGGAACCATCCCCCTTTCGCATCCTCCCCTCCTCTTTTTTTTTTTTTTTAAATCTCTCTGGTATTCACACCTCACCGCGCTCAGGTTTTTCTTCAGAGTTCCCTGCAGCACAGACCTAACACTGAGCTCTGTAAAAAGCTGCCGCAGGCTGCTGGCCACCATCTTCTCTCCCCCTTTCTCTCCCTCATCCACCGACTGTCCAGCTTTTGTACCTCCCCTGCCTTTTTCGTCCTGCGTCTAATTCTCAAAGCTCAGCACTCCTCGTTCGCCTGTGCTGAGGAAAAAAAAGTGATTGTGCAAAGAGGGGAAAAGAGGAGGAGCGATGCTGTTAGTGCGCCAAGGAAAACCTACCCCCCCCCCCCCCCACCCCATTCCCATTTGATGACACAGAAGGTTTTTTATTGAGCAGCTCCTCAGCCAATGAGCAAACAGTGCCGGGAAATACAGCAGTGGATCCGCACCGGCTCTGATGCGTGTGCTGATTCCAGTGATAGAACTATGTTAATCTGTGAGAGTGTTTCCTCTCCTCTCTGATCTGAGTGTGTGTGTGTGTGTGTGTGTGTGTCAGCATCTCCTTGAAGCCAAAGAAAAAGCCCAGTTTGTGAGTGTTTCGTTTGGACAGCTTTATTCCCCAGGTGATACTGGGATCTGCACTACTGGGTTTCTTTTTTTTTTTCTTTTTCTTCATTTTTTTTTGTTTTTTTGTGGGCAATGCTTTTCAGGGTAACCTCATTCTCCTGTCAAGAACGTACCCGACCCTGTTCTCTGCTTTAAGAGGCAGCACATCTCTCCTCAAGGTAAGCATCCTTTTCCTTTTCTCCGTCCAAAGGCAGCAACATCTATCACGGCAGCTGCCTGGCAGGTTGTCACTGAGGCACCCAGCCTCATTATGAACCAGTCCGAGTGTGGAGGGGAAGAAAAAAAAACGCTCTGCAGAGAGAAACAAAGAGAATAAATGGCTCGTGGGTAATTAGAGCAGACAGTGTTTGGTTATTTGACTGTCTCCTCTCCTTCCTGACGCACAGTGCTGCTGTAATATGAAATCTGTCCAGAGTACAACTTTTAAGAGCCTGCAGGTAAGTCCTCTTGCCGGGGTGCGTAGCCTCATGTAGTACTGCAGTATTATGTTACATAATAAAAACAAACGGGTAAGTTGAGAGGAGCACAAGAGGACAGCATCTCACACTTCTCATTGGTAGAGAATTGTTAAGATGAGAAGTGCTATTTACAGACGTGGCTGACATGTTTTTCATTGATTTCCACCTGTGATTACTATCATTATTACCGTTAGGCAGGTGTAGATGGTGATAATCACCTGTCTGTTGTAGAATAGAAGACATACAGAGCATGCAAAGTCAAATTTGCTGAGCCAGCGGGACTGGCTTACATCAGAGTCTGCAGAGCTCCCTGCGTTCAAATGAATCTCAGTCGTCCTATTAAACTAGTCCACTGCAGCCTTGTATCCACAAGTATTGTCGGTAAATTATTCCCTTCAGTGACTCCAGTGGAAATATAATAAAGCGGCGTTAATGTGGTTCTGCTTTATTACATTCTCCAGCAGACACCAATGATATTGCAGCGCATTTACATATCCTTTTAGTGGCTAAGAAGGGTTTGATCTCCCCCAACACATTTGGGACAGTAATCTCTGTTTTGCTGTGTGTTCCTCTGCTGACACTGATGCGGGTCAGACGACGCAGTGGTTTCTTTAGTCCCCAGGGGGGCTGTGAGTACATGGCTGGGATATTCCTCGGTGTGAGGACTTCCTTTTTGGTCTCAGAGGTGAATCAAGGGCTGCTAAGGCTGCAAAATGTCAGGGCTCACGCATAAACAAGATCACATCCCTGGTGCATTCCGTGCTTCGATGGATGTTTAAGAGGCTCAGTCTAATGAGTGTAAAGTGATCAATGAAATATACTGCAACATTCCTGCCTCCATGCCAAAGCAATCATGATTAAGCTGCTACTGGGTGAGTCACAACCTGCAGCTCAATACATTTAATTTCCTTTAAGTTGGATGAATAATAGTTCATCTATTCAGAAAATAGCTGATCTACGAAATGCATAGAAAAATATCACGTCTCACCAAAGGTTGTGCTATTTTGCTGATTGTGCACTTGGCCGTGCACTGAGTGAAGATTAGTCAGTTCTGCAGACAGTGCTGGGTTTCGGGTGATGCAGTCAGCATTACATCTCTTAAAATGATTATACTGTTGGGTGTCTACTCTAAAGAGTCTTAAGTAGCCTCCTTGTCAAACACAGGAACTCGTCTTTTTAGCTGAGCTGCCTGTGTGAATACAGGGACAGCCAAGTAACGTGCTGCATTTTTTATCTGCTTCTACCTACTGGACTGCCATTGATATGTGTGTGGACTTTTATTGTGCCTATTGAATGAAATGAGCCTAACTGGAACACTAGCAGGTTCACTTTGAATCCCAGCTGAAGGCCTCTGTGTGGAGTTTCTGTGTTATCCCCTCGTCTGCATTGACTCTCTGGATTCTTTGGTTTCTTGTATGGAAATTGCATGTTAGGTAAATTGATTATTCCAAATTGACTGTAGGAGTGATGCATGGTGTCTCATTTGTCTCTGTGTGGCTCTGTGATGGACCACCTACATGTCCTGAATGTGTATATAACAGTATATCTGCTTGGGAAAAGTCTCCAGAAAATCAGCAGCAGGTAAGCGTTAGTCCTTTTTATTTGCTTTGAGTTCCCAGTTCAGTCTCTCTGCATTAACTTTTGCCCATTCCTCCAACAGAGAGGTGTGTCTGCCTGAAGCACTGCTATTGCTTAATGGCTCATGAAATAGGAGGCTTCACTGCGGCGCATAATCCTGTAGTCCCCACCAGGTTGCAGAGAGCATCAGTGTACTTAGGCTACTTATAGAATGGCCTTTTAGTCTAAACTCGAGAGACAGATTTATGTGTGTTAAGTATGTTCCAACCTCTGCACACACATAAAATAGAAATATTAGTTGTCCATAAAATTACATTTGATGATGCTTTTTTGTTCACATTTTAACAGCTATTGCAAAACGTTGTCAAGAGAATGTTGGATAGTCTTTCTGTGGATTTATAGCTTTGCTGGTTATTTGTTGTGTTTTTAGTTTAATAGAGTCGAAGTATATTGTCACTACCTTCATCTAAAGAAGCACTCATTTCCACAAAGGAGAATTGTACGAATATGTGTCTCACAAACTAAATCTTTGCCCTATTTTTCCCGAAATACATTCACTCTGTCTGCTACTCTATCAACAAGCCATTAAATGTTGATGAAGCCGGAGCTTTTTGTGGTCATCCGGGGGATCAAAGCAGATGTTAAATCTTTGGAAGACTACCCTGAGGAAAAATAAAAAATGATGCAGCAGGCAGAATTTACAACTTGGCCTGGAAAAGCAACAGATGAAGTGATGTGAGTAATGAGGTGCACAAGGAGGCTTTTAGTTTAGGTGAATTGGTTAGCTCCAATAAGAAATGGACAGTCAATTGACAGAAAAACAAATTAGACACACTGACATTTGATGAATGCACCATCTTTTTTTTTCAATCTTCAGCTTTTACCATCCGCAGGCCTTTTCTTTTATCTTAAAAAACAAAATATACAGTACAATATGAGGCATTTTCGTCTGTTTAAAGACCAAACGACAGTCATATTTATCAAGATTCTTTTTTCCCTTTATTGTTTCACTCTGAGGCCTCATGGTGACAGGGTGTATAGCAGCTCCTTTCCACAGTGCAAAAACATGCGTGCTTTGTATTCCTGGATATCGTGTTTCTTATTCAAATTGACAGGATTAGATAGTGGGAAGGTGCACAGCTGTGTCATTTCTCTTTTTATCTGTCCTGTGATGTACCAAGGATCTGACCAGGTTGTACCCCCACTCATATCTGATAGAAACTGGAATAGATAGTGTGGACATGTAGGAGAAAGTGGTTCACTTGCTCTTGATTTCTCAAGAGTACAATATCCAGGACCAAAGGCTCTGATTGGCAACTATTCGCCAAACAACAAACACACATCATCAAACAAAGATGATTGTGTATGAATGTAGTGTTTGTGCTGTTGAATTTTCTTAAGATCAATTCGGTTTAAGGACAATTCAATCTGTCTGAGGGCTGGATTGAATTTCCGCTATCGGCTGTTTTGGTTTGTTTTCTAAAATTGTGTTTGTGTGTGTGTGTGTATAAAGGTATTCATGTTTTGTAACAGGGATCTTAATTTTGGGAGACAAGAAGAAAACCTGGTGTTTGAGGAGGTAAAAGGCTGTTTTGATTCTTTGTTGTTTTGCTCAGGACACTGGAGAATTACAATCTATTCCTTGAGTGAAAATCATTGGTGAGTTTTTGGAGAAATAGTGGAACTCCATCTAAAAGAAGTTATGAGCCATTTAAGTTATGAGCAATAACTGGAAAGTAATAACTAAAATGTCTGACTCTTTAAAACAAGAACAGAACTTACAGTCCCTGTCTGACTTTTTTGCAGAATTAAGTATGGCACATTCCTGTTTGTTAGGACTGTATATTTCTGAATTACAGCCACAGATCTTCTCTGCTAATTTGCCAACACTGTTGACAGATTCGGAAAGTTGCTGAAGTGGAAAATGGAGGATGCCTGGATTGAAAGATTGATTTTTTACTTAATTGGTCTTGGATTCATACGTCCGTAGGACCTTTTTTTTTTAAAAGCCTGTCTTTCCCTTCAGTAAGTAGCAATACTTTGTGTTTTAATGAACCACTGGGTTGCAGGAGAATGGCTCTTCCCTCTTTAATTAGCTAAAGTTTCTACACTCTAGAGTAAAATAGGTTAAATAACAAGAAAATGCAGTCTGTCAAAATATGGATCTCTCTGGCTTCTCTTTACTTGTGCTTTGTCACATTTCCTGATATCGATACAGCTGTCTCTTAATATCACTCTTTCTGTCCCCTCTGCTTGCACCACCTCATTTTTTAGTCAGGTTCTTTATTTATGTCAGAACAAAAATGATTTTGATGTTGTTGGAGGTGGAAGCTTGTTGACGACCTCAATGCATTTGGAAGACTGGAAACAGATTGAAATTGATCAAAAACCAAACTACCAGGAACAAATTAGGCGATGTCAACTTTAGGAATCTGACAAAAGCCTAAGAAAAGGAGCAGATATACAGCGGGGCTCAGTCGTGACACACCTGTGACCATTAACTGTTGAGCGTGAAGCTGAGAAAAACACATATGAAGAAGTGGAGCAGAACAAACTGCAAATTACTCTGAGAGAAGAATATTGCTGTTACTGCCTATATCTGATAAATAGAAAACAAAAAAGGGGGAAAAAACAAATCAATGTGGACCAAAAGCAAAAGGCTGAGCAGGAGAAGAAAATCTTTTTCAAGTTTTTTTTTTTAAGAAGAAAAAGCAGAAACCCTACTTAAAAAAAATAAAAAAAATTCTGCACAGCTCAAACAACTACTGTGTTGCCAAACGGAGAAAAAATAGATTATATATTTATTCATTCAGGGTTGTACAATAAGCACAGAATGCCACATGATAAGTTAAGATTTAACTTTGATTGTCTCGGTTTTTCATGAGCTTTGTGACGATTAAACAATTAGACACCAAATACAAATGTTTTGTGGGAGAAAGCTGCAAATGTTTTCCTTTAAGTCAATTTACATTTACAGTCACATGGGAAATTTGGTGAAAACATTCAGTTAATTACTTTTGTTGGTGTTACCTATGTGGAAAGAATTGCCTTTCTCTTGTTTAACAACTTACCAAGCTGGAAGGGCTAAACTGTGATATGCTGATAACAGGTGAGCTGCATGAGGTTTGGGTGATGTTGAGACACTTTTTCATGAACAGCGATTGCGACATGATGGCGCAGATGGAAGATTTGTATGAGACTCCAAGGCAAAATGCAACAAAGGAGTATCGAGGCCAGAGAAGGTGATAAGAGCATATAAGTTCAAAGAAATGGGCCCAAAGAAATGGGCCCAAAGAAATGGGCTTATATGCCACATATCAACACCTGCAACATGTCAGTGTAGCAATGACAATAATTCCTTTCTCTTACACTAGTGATCACAAGACATGTTCCTTTAAGGCCAGAATTTTGATTGCTTACTCGATTCCCACATTCATTGTTTTTTATTCACTCCACAGCGCATCTGGCATTTTTTTGTTAAATGCCGCCCACTTAGCTTCACTTATGAATTCTTCAAATCCAGTCATCCGTTCACACAATACAATTAAATCTCTGATGAAATTATATTCATAAACAAAATCGGTAGATCACATTGTCTGATAGTTTCACAAAGTAAAATAAATTGTTCTGTGAATGCATACAGTAATTCTCATCTTGATGTAGTATTTTCCATGGCACCTGTTGAACAACGTCAGCCACCCCCATTGGAAGTTTCGTCCCTCTGTATTGACGGGGTTTTCTTGTGCAAATGATAAGTTTTATTGTTTTAAAGCAATCTCCCTTCTACGGACCTGGCTGAGTTACAATGCTCAGATGGGGGTGTGGGGGATGTCTGGACCGTGATTTCCTGCTGGACCAGTTGTATATATTGGCAGACCATGGAAGGCTCATAAATCTGAATCAAGTTTGCGGACATTTTTAAATGTCATAAGAAGATTGTGAGGGTGTAAATTGAAAAAGAAAAAAAGCAGGGTGGCTCAACTGAATGAATAGCTTAATGTTGATGCCGTGCTTTTGTGGATGCTGGCTTTGATATGACACTGACAAAACTAATACCAATTTGATATTTCAAAGAGAAAAGCCTATATTCATTCTATTCATTCCTTGAGAATTTTTCCTCTGATATATCCATGAGTTACACAAGCTCTGTTTACCTTGACCCATTTGTGGGTTTTTAGCTATTTACTGTCTCTCCACCCACTTAGAAGCTTTCTCAGGGGAAAATATGCCTTTCTACAAAATGTATTCCCATGAAAATTTTAAGTCAATTTAAGTGGTCTGTTGTATAATGTCAGCAGCAGATGTTGGATATCCAAGAAAGTCACCCCTGATGTGGCCAACGTCAACAAGTTCTGTGTGACCTGATCTCCAAGATGCTGCACATTGATGAGAAATTTACAAACAAAAAAATCTCCAAGATGACTCATTGTTATTGTTAAAAGTAAAATTTGTGCGTTAATATTACTATATTAAGGGGAAAAGATACCACATTTTAAGAAGCTTTATGAACGAAAAACTGGCATGTTGACATGAAGGGGGAAAAAAAACGCTGTTTGACTACAACCCAACTTGCCACATGAAGTGCTCCCACACATACACTCACTCTGTTCACTAAATGCTAAACACTGCAACTGATGTACAGAGCCAACTGAACCATATGGTGCTCTCAGCTTACTGTTGTTTATGCTGCAGCAACAACAAGCCAGAGTATGAGCACTGACTCAGGAGTGTGTGAGACAGAGAGATGGCCGAGACGCAAAGACTAAAACAGACTTAAGCAGAGGCTTAAAAAAAGCCGGGAAAAAAGACGCAAGTCACGGCAGTTATAGTCCAAGTGACTGACTTGTGGACAGTCACAGTCTCTCAGCTTTGTATTTCTCTGTTACGCCCCTGCATTGCAGCAGTCCCTGCAGGAGCTGAGCGAGGTGCAGTGTTTCCCCACATCCCCTTTCTGCTGCCTCTAAGGAGGCAAGTCCTTTCTAAACAAAATCTCCCGGCACGGTTAAGCACACATATTCATTTGCTGCGTTTGGCCCTCTCGGATATTCGTCATGTAACTTGTACAGTCGTCACGTGTAACTGACCTCCAAGCACAGCACAGCACTCAGGCTGAGAAGCAGAGAAGGACAATAATGTTTATTAATCCATAGACGATCCTTAGAAAAGATGATGGTTTCCCACAATGCACCAGGACTCCAGGTGAACCAGTTTCACTGTGCTGTAACTGATTTCCTTACACAAATACATACATATACATATACATTTTTTATAGATTATATTTTTAATTGGGGTTGTCATGGAAGCTAAGATAGCGACCACTTTCTAAATGTTTACAAAAACAACGATTTCTCTCCATCTGTAATTATTTCAATTTATGTTCAATTTTAGCATCACATTTTTTTCATTAGACAGTTGTTAGTTTACTTAGTTTACTTAGTTCCAACTGTTTAAAAAAAATATATATATATTTTTGCTCTTGTCATTGCATGTCATCAGCAAGGCAATGTGCCCCACTGCTAGTCACCTCCAAACTGTATATGTGCTGTCAAGCAGAGCTTTGTGGAGGCAAGCAGATCTTTTTTGAGTGAAGACATAGATTTTAGGTAGAGCCGAAATACATGTTTATGAAAGAAGATATTCGGCTGACAATCTTTTTGAAAAACTGGCCAAAAGTGCCTTTTTTTCTTTAACAAAAAGAACTTCTGGGTTTACTGACAAGAGTAGTGTTTTGTGCCCATTTCAGACAGTGCTCTGTAACATTTGTATTTTACTGTGGCATATAACCTTCATCTTATGCCATCTTGGATTATGCTGCTTTTAAATATTTTACCATTATGGGCTGCGTCATCATTGGTAAATGCATTCAGCAGAAGAAAACGGAATGGAGGAAAACACAGAAGATAAATGTCTCTGAGCTCAACTTTGCAGTGTCCTGATGGGAATTAAAAAAAAAGAAGGAAGGAGCCCTGTGATGCAGCAATTTTATTTGAGATTCCTGCCCTCCTCTGGCAAAAGCAGCTAATTGCACGGTAACCTGAAATGAGGCAGCCGCCTTGCCTACCAGCTGTCAGCCGGACTTGAGCACACTGAATGGTATTTCCCCAAGGAGAGCCCTGAAGGAAGCAAGTTTAAAAAAAAATATATATATATATTTTTTAAAGCCGAGAGGAGGAATTGAATGGTGGACATAAAAATCTCACAAACACAACTAGGTAAAAAGGCACTGGACGTTTAATTCCAGTTTGTGAGGCATAATTAATACAGGGCTAAACAATGACACACAGCTGCATTTAAACTTTCATTTTATGACAGATCTACATCTGTACACATCTGTCGGGCGCATATAACGTTTCATGATCCAACTGTTTTAGCTCCACGATGCGAGCTTTGCGTTGTATTTGTGTCATAACTTGACAAGCTGCTTTGCATTCTGGATCTGGTCACTTCCAGTCATCACTGAGAATTAGGAAAGTTGGCACAGTCATTGCTGTTTTGTACCCTTTAACAATGACACATATTCCCCAGGGGGTTAGATCACATTTCTGAGATCAATTGCAAAAACCGCAATTAATTTCACCAGTTTGGTGACACACCGTTTGCGGAGCTGATGCAATAAACTCAGGCAGAGCTTTCAGAGTTTTTCAGCCATCCTGCTGCATACCTTGCTTGTTTTGCTCTCTTTTGTGGCTGTATTCAGGTCCCCCCTCACCCCTGAGCTTGTGCTTATTGATCCCCTACAACTGCCCACCGATACTAGACGAAAGTGGTGTGCTGCAATCAGCCGTGTGAGCAGCATCGCAAATGAGGTTGGGGGAAGGAAAGATGGATGGAGAGAAGGAGGTAAAGAGGTTGCATGCGTGAGTACATTGAGGGAGAGACAGAGTGGAAGTTGTGAGCCGTGTTACGGGGAGGGTGGAAAATGGGGGAGATGGTGAGCATTGGAAAGGAGGAGGAGGAGGAGGAGGAGGAAGGGGGGGGTGTAGTACTGCAGTGGAGAGAAGTGAGAGGAGACTGCAGTCTCTGCTTATGGGAGAGATCAGACCATGGTACCACAGCTCTGAGAAACTGTATCCCAAAGACTTATTGATATTTGGATGGGCCATCTCATACGGGGGAATACCTCATCCGACTGGTGAGTTCTGCTATGACATGCTTCGTATATTTACACATAAGTTACATGGATGTGTTCAAAATTTCTATTACAGAGGATCGTCAGTGCATTTTTAAACAAGGTGAGCAATAACACGCTGTTCCAGTTCAACTATTTCTTCTGTTCCCCGAGCATACTTGTTAACAAGGATGTATCGCCGCTTCTTTTTTTCTTTTCTTTCTGTGTCTGACTGATGTCAGCCAGTGATGAGCTGCAGAAATCAAAGACAGATAAAGACTCTATGCTAATGGCAGAGAGGTAAAACGTAGATAAAAGACAAGAGGGGAAGGCTTGTTTTCAGGTCAGCAGCTGCTCTCTGAATGCAAGCAAAAAGCACAAGTTATGGAGGCTGGAGTGCTGAGTTGTTCCCTGCACAAGATCAATAATTCAACTACTGTATTATCCCTGCCTGCATTCTTTATCTTTTTTAATTTTAGCTTCTGACACAGTTCATGTCAGATAACATATAAAGGGGTTCCTGCTATATCTTCATATCAAATAAAAGCTAATTTACAACCATGGTGTGTCAAAGCTCAGCAGCAGCCTGCATTCACACTGCTCTCATGCCTACTTTCTGGGCAGTGGCTGACCGTGCTGTGGAACCAGGTGGCTATTTGACAAGCTGGTCAGTACAGCTATAGACGGGTTTTTGGGCAATTCTGGATTGCTGATAGAAACTGTCACGATTGCTTAGCAACAATGGTCCGTGTGCTCACAACTGACCGTCACTGTACAGTGTCTTTTCTTTCTAAAAAATGTGAGAAATTCTTCTCAGAATTATACATTTTGGCAAAGCAATACGTATTAATCTGAGGCCTGTGCATCGTGAAGTTCATCACGACTGTACATTTTTCAACACCCTCATGCACACTCACGCCAAAGTTTCACTGTGTGTTTCTAATTGGTCCCATAAACTCTGCTGTGAAACACTTTTCTCAGGTTTTGTTTCAGAACCAGTTTTACTTGGAAACTGATTCTTTCTGTTTGCAAACTGAAAGAGGGAATTGTACTTTTTAAGATAAATGGGCTAAAATGATGCACACACTTACACCAGCACACCACCACTTGTAAAAATGTTTTGTCTTTAATAGTCAGTTTAGAGCAAATATGAAATTTTTCAAACTGAACAGAGTAGATCTGATATATACTCTATATTCTCTCCGTTTACTTGACCTTTGCTTCATTTGATGAATTCGTCTGTCAGAATATTTCTCTCATTTAAATTCCTCACCCAAAAAGTAAATATATTTTGTTTACAGAAAAACTTTCTCATTATTTTCAGGAATGAATGACACACATCTGAATCGGGTTCGGGTAGACTACCAGCAGAATGTGTCATACTGCAGCAAAACAAATGTGCTTTCTGACTATACGTCGACCAGTAAACTGTGCTCTGTTTGCTGTGATGCAGTTTGCATCAAAACAGTCAGAAAAGCATGACCACATAAAAAAAAATGTTAATTTATATATTAAAGTACCAGCTTTGATTCTGGTTTAATTAAAAGTAAAATACTGTTGCCAGATGTTTGAAGTTATCTAAAGCCCTTGATTTGTTTATTTTGCTATGCTACAGCAATCCCCATTTAGTGAGGAGAGCATCTGCACCTTCCTGCTCAGCTGGAAATTTGAATAGCGTGACGCTGTCATGTACTGACACTCACACTGAGAATGAATAATATAATGCCCACTGGAGGCGGCAGGGTAAATTGATTTTGTCAGCTGTTGAGATATACAGTAGCAGATCGACCATTGTGAGAAGATGCTTATTTGTTAAGTCTCGGAGTGATTTAGGCAGCCACCACATTTTGTGCCAAACTTCAAGGCTCATCTGTCTTTGGCTGACTAAATAATTGAGGAGTTCATAACTTTTTGAAATCTTTCCCCACATCATTTCTAAATACCTAAAGGCTGAGATCAATCACTGTAATGCTTCCGGTATCGTTTATCCTTTTTCGTTTTGTCATACATCCTATTTTTTTACCATCAGAAATGAAAAAAATAGATCTGTTCCACATCTTTATTCACAAATAGAGTATTTGCATTTTTTTATTTGATAATGGCCTAAAAATATTCCATTAAATAATACTGGAGCAATAAAATAATGACATTTTCCAGTTGAAAAATACTATTACTAAATAATTACACTGTCTTAGAACTTGATTTAGATCAAATTTAACACATTTGTATGAATAAGATTGGTGTCTTTATACCAAGAGACAAGGAGGTAGTTAGACAGCCTTGTTCAATTATTTTTTTTCTTGAGCTAAGCCACCAGATATCTTTCAGCTATTCTTATAACAATTGAGCTCCCATCTATCCGAACGGAGGAATATGCCTCACAGCTTGGTTCAACTTCTGTAGGTTTTTGGATAGTGGTGAAGAAGCAGGATTCTCTCTGGCACATCATTGTGTTCAGAGGGAGAGATCATTTCCGCTTTTTTTCTTCCGCAGTAAATCCTGACATTGGCATAAAGTATCAATGTTGATTTAAAACTCTGCAGCTTGAAGATGCTCATACAGAAAACTGTCATTCTGTGGCACACCTCATAAGGCCCAACAACCACTCCAAGATGATCTACTTTTACTCCTCTCAAGGATCTAAAATCCTAATCGAGCACAGGCACAAAAAAAAACGCAAGCACATTCAGACACACGCAAGATAAGAAAATAGATATTTGTATGTCGGAATGATTAAATCGAACAGGAGTCTCTTGATTGAGTCTTGCAGTCCCTATACATCTCCATTATGATCTGCCATTTTAAATTCACAACACGTAAGTGTATATTCAACATAGACCCTCAGTGGCATTGGTGTTGTTTCCATGATGCCATCATGGAGCTTCTACAAGAGCTACAAATAGCACCAAGCAGCTTTTTTTCACATATTTATTTGAGATCCACCATCAATCAAAGCCGTTCTTCCCTCTTTTTCTCTCCGTCTCTGATCCAATCGTGTCTACAGACCACCTGAGAGACTGTGAGTCTCTATTTCTTATTTTTTTCATCACTTTATTTTGGTTTAAAGTCAATCTGAAGGCTTATCTTTCTCAGCATTTGGTATATTTCATACTTGTGTTTATATTTAGTTGAGAAGTAGAAGTTTAAAGTTTTTTTTACGATGCTTGAAAAAAAAATCAATCTCTTAAAGGACATTTTGAAGGTGGGGTCCCATACAAAAGCTTTTAGTCTGCACGGAAACACCTGATTATTTTGCAAATTAATATTATGTGATTTTATTGACAGAGAAAATATTTTCCTCCTCTGTTTTTTTCCAGTCTAATAGAGACACAAATTAGATGAACAACTCAAAATCTAGACAGTACATTAGTCACAGAACATAAATGCATCAAATCTTAATATTTTAGTTGTCGGCAAGCTTAAAAAGTCCCATTACCGTTGCCCACTTTACTGAGTTTGTAAATGGTTAACTATTTAATCACTGGAGACCTATTCAGTGGACCGTCTCTCAGCCAATGACAGCTGGGATGGGCTCCAGACTTTCCCATAGCTCTGGGTGGGTTGGGATAGAGATTTAAAGGATGGACTCATGCTCCATCATATTTGATATTTATCCACCCGTCCAAACTGTTTTGGCTCTGTTACTTTGTGTTCCAGGGACCTCGTACCTAGTCTTTGACGATGAAGTTCAACTTGTTCAGAAAGCCACAGGCCGTGGCGGCCGCCGAGCCCACAGGGGCCACAACCGTGACCATGGCTCCTTCTCCGGCTGAGATTTCCACTCTGGCGCCGGATACTTCAGGCTCCAACATCACAGAGATTAGCAAGAATGACATGTTTGAAGAGATCAAGAGCAAATTCTTAAATGAAATTGATAAAATCCCACGTAAGTTCGCACTGCAGTGAATGAAGGCATGTTTGACTGCACAGTGAATCCTGAAATACTTTTTTGTTCTGAAAACCGACAGTTCCTCCGTGGGCTTTGATTGCCATCGCTGTGGTCGCCGCACTGCTCGTCCTCACTTGCTGCTTCTGTATAATAAAAAAATGCTGTTGCAAGAAGAAGAAAAACAAGAAAGGAAAAAAGGGAAAAGACGGCTTCAACATGAAGAACATGCAAGGTGGTGAGGTATGACCTGCTCTCTCCATGACAAATGTCGGGCTATCGAGATGTTCTGGCTGACATCTTGCTCCCCCTTTTACCACAACAATTTACCATTGAAGTTTGAATAATTTTTGCTCAGATTCTTGGACTCTGGCTAACTACATATGATCTTTCACCAGCAGCTCTTTTAGCCCAGGCTGTAGAGGACACAAGGAGAGCTCTTTTCCCTCCATTTATTTGATGTTGTTGTGGTCGTTTAATTGTGTGACGTTTTCCATTGTGGCCCGTGGTGAAAAATGACACGCTTTGTTATGAGCTGGCACAGAATAATGAGCCCCATGAAATGGAAATTTTTCTTTTATTAAGTTATCAGCGCAAAAAAAAAGTTGCTAGATAACATTAAGGAGGGTGTGAAGCATGAAGGAGAGTTTAGAGGCAAAGTAAATTCAAATAATGCATGAAATTATCATTAAAATGAGCAGCCTTAAAATATCACCCTGATATTAATTTCTTGCTCGTGTCCAGGATGGATCCGCTTCCCCCCCGCCCAGAACAAGCGTGTCATTTCTCATCATGGTTGTGATGGTGGTGGTGGTGTTGACTGCCTCTTTCTTGTAGTGTGTTTGGTGTCTTGTGAGTTGAATCTCTTCCTCTCTCTGCTCTCCTCCTTTTTTCCGCTTTGTGTCTGTCTTGTGTGTGCCTTGACTGTGGTGGACTCCCGCTCTACGGTAGGTGGATAGCTCACGTTGACGCTCTCTCGCCCCCAGGGCGGAGGGGGGGTTTCATGGAATGAAAGTCGTAGCTTCCTTTGCTTTTATATCGTTCCTGTTACTTTAGCATTCCCCCATTTTGCTTAATTTTGTTATGATAGCTTGGGAATGTAACTGTGGGAAAGCTATGATGTCCTCCATAAACCCAGGAGAGGAGAGCCTAACCATCTAAAACATTGTCCTTTGGACAATGTAACTGTAACTCACACCAATATGGAAAGTATTGGATTCAAAGATGATGTGCAAGGCACTGTGAACACTATTAACACATGCATGTGATAAAGGGCATGGTCGGTTGTTTGGGAGACATGGGAACTGTGATGATTAAACTGCATGATGAGCAAAATGCTCCTAAATGTTTTATTTTTGACTGTAATACTCAAGGAGGAGCTAGGACGCAGACACACTGGATGGCCCGAGAAAAAACATTTGAAAGTCAGGGTCACTTTAACAAGGAGACCGTTTTTCAATTACAGAAATAACTGCAGCAACAACACTGCAGCTATTATTTAGATAGCTGGCTGTGCCCTTTACTCCGGAAGCATTCGCTGCTATGACGATGAAGTGAAAGAGAGGCATTTTTCACCCAAATGAATGATGAGGTTTAGCAAGACAAATAGGCAGCATAACATAAATTGTGAGCGTGGAGTTTATGTATTTCTTTTTGGAGGCTGAACATTCTGCAGTCCAGTATGTTTATTGTTGTTTTTTATTATCTATTGACACCACAGATAGCTATAAACTAAACTTTTATCGCAAAGATTTTGCCAGCCAGCGAAGACAAATACCTCTGATAGAAGGTGGACTAGTTAGCTCGCAGGTTTCCAGATAGATTTCATATATAGAAAGATATCATACTTAGCAGGTGGGGTGGATAAAATTCTAATGGTATCATAGCGGTATTAGTCGTAGGGGGTTGTAATTACCGAAAATCCAAGTCACAATCTTTAATGATCTTTAACCTCTGATAAACCTGAACTGCATGCTTGTTCCTGACTCATCCACGTTTATCGATACCAGAATAAGACTTATCAGGTTTCAGAAAGCATCAAGTCTGCATGTTGAACAAAGACCCAGGACGTTAATGAATTTGAGGACTAAGAAGTCTATAGGTATCTGTGGCTTTTTAGAAACTTCTATTGACTACTTTGCTTTAGCAATCTGGCTGGTACTGAGACTGAAATGTGTATGAATTATTTATCTCCTTGCCCTGAATATTATGTCTTATTTTCCTTTAATCATTTAATATGCATTTGCTATTGTGAGCTAGTTCCTTTGGGGGCTGTTCTGCACTCCTTGTTTATCCGGGAAAATCCAAACAATTTATTATTTGGAATGCAAACGGTCTCCAATTTCTGACTATTAGAGTATTATTACTATTATTACCCCTTTCAGTGGAACTAGCATGCCATGCGTCCACTGACTGGCTGTCCCTGTGCTGCTCAAGCATGTCAAAGGAATTGCCCACTGGTCAAAGAATTATTTTACGTTGAGGAACGTTTAAAGATCAGAAACCCTACATTCATGTCACCGGCAATGTAAATCTGTTTCGATAATCATGTGTGACACAGGTAAGCAGTAACCAAAACATGTAACTCCCATGTCAAAAACTCCTGGAGCCCCAGTGTCTGTGGCATGCTGGCTGTTAATTGGGAGCACTTCCTGATTGTTTCTGATGACCTGACTTTTAACTAAGTTTTTCGCATGGCGACCTTTGCACCACAGAAACAACAGGATGACGAAGATGATGATGAGGGAGAGACCGGACTAACAGAGGAGGAGAAGGAGGAAGAAGAGAAAGAGGAAGAAAAACTGGGAAAGCTGCAGTACTCGATCGAGTATGATTTTGAGAACACGAAGGTTTGTTGATGTCATTCTACCTGCAAGATGATTTAAACTTTAAAAAAAACATTGTTCTCTAGCATAAGGATTAGTTTTCCAGTTCAAATTATTTCAATTCCATTTTTTTTTTTAAAGCTATTAACTTTCTTTTTCTGACAAGCCAGTCAGAAAGTCGTCACTAAAGATTCAATAGATCGTCATTTAAAAATGCAAACAAGTGTTGCAATATGTTTTTCAATGTGAAAATAGAGTTTAGTTTAAAGAGCTTTGATATTAGTTGCTTTCCCTATGTTAGCATAAAGATAAAAAAAACCTTGACAATTGTAATTGTAATCCAATACCAACATAAAAGTGAAAAGTTTCATCATAACTTCTTTTATATACGTAACCAAGGCAAACAGCAAAATGGTGCCTCAAAATATGGTGGTTGCCTTGCATCTAGAAGCATTTTAGGCCTGACAAATAATTTTTCTAAACCCACTTAGTTATTAGTTATTTAGTTTGAATTCAAACAGGAAGTACAAAATGTGCAATACTTTAATGTATTTGGGCTATTCTATGTTTTAAAGGTAGTTGAATAGTGGTGCTTATCTGCTCCATCCACCAACTTATGTTTTTCTTTACTGGACTTTGAATGGACGAGAATAACCCTTCCAGTATGGGAATTGTAGGAAAATGTTAATTTCCCTTACGCTGCTTGCAAGCAGGATACTTTCTTTGACAAAATTATGAGCTGTTTAGTGGTTAGAAAATGTTTCCAAGAATGTCTAACCTACACTGGCTTGTGGAAAATCTCTGGAAAATATATCACTTTTTGAATGAGATTGAAAAACCCTGAGATTATTATTATTTTTTTTTAGTATGCCTCTATTTCAGTGACTTGAATCTTTCCAGCAAAGCAGAATCCTGACAGTTTCATTTAAGGTTGAAAAAGCTAAAAGAACAGGTCTTTGTCACAAAAAAATAAGTTTTAAACAGGTTTTCTGTACTATATGACATTTGACAAACTGCCTGGCATTCAGTATGCCTGCAGCTAAACAAAGATGTTTGTGGTGATTGATTTCAAGGCTTAAATTGCCAGATCGGGTTCTATACCACTCTTCCCCACTCCTGTTCCTGACATCCCGTCCAATCCTCTGCTAACAGCTCACAATTGGCATCCTCCAAGCTGCAGACCTCATGTCCATGGATTCCGGTGGAACTTCTGATCCTTACGTTCGAGTCTTCATTCTGCCTGATAAGAAAAAGAAGTTTGACACCAAGGTGCACAAGAAAACGTTGAACCCTGTCTTCAACGAGACGTTTGTATTCAAGGTAAGGCTCAAGTTCTCAATGTTATAAATGCAGAAAAGGTGTGCACACTGCCCAACAAAAACCACATGGACGAGCAAAGGAAGAAAAGCAGAGAACAGATAATGATCAGACTAGATGCCGGTGAGTTGATGTTTTTGCATACAAATAAGATGCAAAAATAATGCCCTTAAACCCCCAGTGTATCCATCGTATTGACTGTCACATCAAGTTTGTCTGGATCCACTGGCCTGTTCATTATACGTGCTGCTCTTTGCTGTCCTCACTAATAAACCCCACAGAGACTTACAAAAGGGACTCTCTGTCAAGCTTTAAGCTCCCTCATTCTGCAGATATGCAGTGGCTAAATATAGACATTTTGAAAAAAAAACGTAATACCTCTCTTTTCTATAACAGAGGCAAAGATTTCTCAAGAGCTACATTTCCCATGTGTGAAGAACACTAATGAATTACTGTATTAATGGACACATTTTCTTAACTTTAATGATTTATAACAACCCCATAAGGAATACGGGAAATGGACAATGAGTAAATGAATGAATAAAAAAAGTGTAATCTTTACATGAGGAAAGATAAAGTTTCTTATTATAGGATATTTTTTTCTGAGAAGCATGGTTATTCACACGCATTTGTTTTTGCATTCGAAAAGCAGGTGCCCTATGAGGAACTAGGGGGGAAGACACTGTGCATGTCGGTGTACGACTACGACCGATTCTCCAAACATGATGTGATTGGAGAGGTGAAGCTGCCCATGAATACCATTGACCTCGGACGACCAATCGAAGAGTGGCGAGACCTGGAGAGCGCTGATCAAGAGGAGGTGCTTTTCAGATTTAAACAGATCAGAGTCACATCTTCAAAGAGCAGAGCACGGAATGAAACCAAAAAAAACATTACTTATCAACTTTATACTGTCTCTTGTCAACCTGACACATAATATGGGGCAATAATATGGGAAATAACTTCACAAAGTTAAAAGAGTTCCAGTATAAGTATTTTCTTTAGATTTGTTTTCTTAGCTTTAGGGTACATTTTAGCTCTATAATTCAGTTACATTTGCCAAAAGATGCTGAATTATATACAGTCACAGAAATACTACAAAAAGTGTGAAAATTTGGACACATGCACTCATAAAAATTGTATGGATAGATGTTCAGATATTTCTATCATGCATTTAATTGGCACACGATACAGTGAAGCAGCTGTGTGCCCATGAAACACCAGGTTTATGTTTCTTTCATTTTCTGCCAACGGTTATAATTTCCATTAGGTTTCAGTCATATCTGGATTTTAAAAACTGCGAGGCTTAAAATAATAACTTCTCAAAAACATATAATGGTAACCAGTAAACTACCAGTGATGTCATGAGGTGAAGAAACGAAAGTAATTAGAGCCTTAGAATGTGCTACATTTTGCATGTAAGTTTTATGTAAACTCATCAGAAAACAAGCAGATACTGGTGACTGATGCATATCTCTACTTGTTATTTCATCTCCTTCTTCTTTGTTCTGCCTGCTCAGCCTGAGAAACTTGGAGACATTTGCATCTCCCTCCGTTACGTCCCCACTGCTGGGAAGCTCACTGTCTGCATCCTGGAAGCAAAGAACCTCAAGAAGATGGATGCCTGCGGCTTATCTGGTAGGATAAAGTTTACCACCAACAGCTTTAATCAAGTTCTAGATTGCTGCATATTTATTTGGGAGTGGTAACACTGATTGTATAAAACATATAGGAAGCAAATTTGGATACTGGCGCAGTTACAATGTTTTCTTAATTGAGTGGGCTTCAAAATAAGTGGGACTTTTTGTCTGTCTCTGTGGTAAAAAACAAAACAAAGAACACTAACAAGGAATAAAGTGCTAGAGACAGATTTTAAACAAACATTAGCGTCTCAAGATAATCTATAGTCTATACAAAGACTGTCCCTTTTATCAATTAGATCACTTAAATTTAAGGATTTTAAAGACATTTATTTAAGCTTTAATGAGCATTACTGATTAGGTATGTATTTAAGCTATTTGCCAAAGAAAATAGCATTAAAATTACAGGTAAAAATAAAGAATTACAGAAAAAGGCAAGAAATCTTTAAAATATCGTTACATTTCTGATCTGAAATGTGTAGCAATTGGATGATCATGTTGTTGTCCCTTTTAGATCCTTATGTAAAGATCCAACTGCTTCAGGGGGGGAAGCGCCTGAAGAAAAAGAAGACAACAGTGAAGAAAAACACCCTTAATCCATATTACAATGAATCATTCAGCTTTGAAATCCCACTGGAACAAATGCAGGTAAAGTATATATTAAACCAGACATTTTGAACTTTTATGTATGTTTTAATGTCTTTAGATCAATATTAACTCACATTTCAGCTCTATAATGCCATTTTAACAACCGCTGTAGATATATGGAGTAGTTCCTGAAATGTAAAGACATTTTATTTGCATCTGGCTTGCGGTGCTATATATTTTGTGTAGGAACATTTTTATTTTTCTGTTTATCTAAAGCTATCAGTTATAGAGAGGTTTGCACACTAGGTTTTTCTTGCCAGTGCTGACTGCTCAGAGACCGGTGTCAGCTGCTGCAGGCCGGTTTTCTTGCATTTGGGCCTTTTACTGTGCCATAGTTTTGTCAAAAATAGACGATCATGACAAATTTTGATAGTAGTGTAACATCTCTGGCTTTTGGACTTTATAACTGAAACTGCGAGGATGCCAATATTCAGTCTGTTTAAATCCCCAGCTAAGTTTAACTGCAGTTATGGGTCACCACTGAAATTTAATTAGAATACCTCCCTATTCTCAGTGTAGAAGCGCACACTTGGAATTGATATACTGGCCAAAATCAACTCCACTAAAGAATGTTTTGGTGTTTGTCCTCTTTTTGCACATCATGCATGCTGTGATATCATTATATCCAAATCACTTCCAAGTTCACTGTATCTTACGGGGAAACAAATCCATGATTTATTGAGAGATCTATTGATATTTTACAGATTTATTGTTAATATTAGCAATTGTTTATCAGTTTTCATCATGTTTGAGACAGTTTAAAATCCCTCATGAAATGCTATAAAAAATAGTTAGATAGATAAGTGGGTGGATTTCCCCTCAGTAACAGAAAAATCGCTTTTTTTCACCTCAAAATCAATTGTTCCTCTTGTTTCCAACCCAGAAAATCTTGGTGGCAGTCACAGTGTTTGATTATGACAAGATTGGCAAGAACGACGCCATTGGAAAGATCTTCGTCGGCAGCAAGGCAACTGGTTTAGGCCTTAAGCACTGGTCTGACATGCTGGCTAACCCACGCCGTCCCATTGCCCAGTGGCACGTTTTGCAGCCTGAGGAGGAAATTGACGGTCAGCTGGCATCCTTGAATGCAAAGAAGTAATAATACAGTCCGCTAAGCAGCTTTCATGCTCTTACTCAGAAATCGAACCCCCCTGTCCCTCCTTTGCATGAATTCCATGACTTAACAAACGACAAATTGTCATAAATCCTGCTCAGCAAAAAAGACACATCTTAGAGTATTTTCTCATTCATAGTTAAGTCAAAGGAAAATGGTTTTTAGCACTGGTTCACTCACGTTAGCGTACACTGAGGAGAAAATGTTGAGAGAGCAGCTCGCGAATGACCGACTTTTGGTCTTTGTATCATTTAAAGAAACTTAGAAACTGATTCTTAGGGTGCTGCTGCTAGATAGAAGTTTCGGGGAAGACAATGCTGGATAAAAAAAAAAAACTTTAGTTTAGGTTATAGAGCATGCTTTACTTAACTACCCACTTATCTGTGCACTCCACATCCAGTATGGTATCTCGCTAATAAGTGTGCTATAACCCGCAATAGAAAGTATTTTGTGTAGAGCATAGAGTCGGTTTACATCTCTTAGAGCAAACAGATTTAACTAAGGAGGCATCAGGTCGAGGTCAGTAAATGCAGCAATCAGTTTTTTCTCAAAGAAAATCTACCTTTGTTTCATCATCAGTATATCAGGGACGATGCAGTTGTCTGATCTTTGTCGCCTGTTCAGTCTTGTGATGAAGGCACATCCACACACTTAGGCTCAACACACTTTTCCTCAGACAGATCTGATGTGGGAGAGGAACACAAGGGTGCCTTCCTGATGTGACAATTTGAGACACAGGTTTCTTTGTCTCTCTTGAAGAGGTTGTATCTCATTTTAAAAGCTGTCAGGGATAATGTGAATGTGCCATCGGATATCTGAGCTGGGTTAACCTCCTGGATGTAAAACCTTACTTTTATGGAAGAAGTAAGGACACCAGAAGGATTAGCACTAATGCTCAAAAGAAGTTTGCTTATTTTGAATTCCGCTATTGGTTCAAAGAACAGTGCCATCTTTATTCATTTTAGATAACATTAAGCATCATGTGCTTCTCTATCATAGTTTTTCCCACATATTCTGTCAAAGAAAAAAACATTTTTACAGGAAATGGGATTTGAAATTTGACATAAGCTTAAAGAAACATAAATTAAACTATTAAATGTAAGTTTGTTAGTATGGCATCTGCAGCATTCAACACACATGTCATGGAAAAACTGCTTGAACCAAATAGAGCTTCAGAATTGAGCATGGGTCATGCTTTGTTGTATTTCATGTTGAATTGTTCAATCAAATCAGACTTTGTGATCCTGGGGCCAAAGTGCTGCCACATGTTGTTATGAATTCATCAAATGCTGTGTCAATGTGATGTATGGAGACTTAAAGGCAGGAAAGAATACAATGATCTATCTACTAAAACTGAATGCCACGTTGTGTGTTTCAATCATTGTGAAAAATGAGTATATTTCAATACCAGTGATTTCTGTGTAAACAGAAAAATCTACTGTTTAAGCTATCAAATTGAATTAATTTGGTCTTACAACCCATGTTTTGTTTTGTTTTTTTGTTTTTTGTACTTAAGTAGAATATTTCAAGGTTCCCGACTTCAAAACCTTTGCATTCAGTAATGTGAATAATTTGTTTGTGTTAACCTTGCTCAAAACCTTGCAAGTGAGTCAAATTCAGTCAGACATGGCCAATAAATTAACGATTTAAAAAAAAAGAAAAAATTATTCAGAGCCAAAGGTATTTGTGCACACCCTTTTTTTTCACAAGGTGCAAAGGTAAAAATAAAAAAAAGGTTAAATTAATTCAATTAATCTCTTTGTATTATGAGCAACGTCATTGATAATTAAGGCAAGGTTCTCATATACAGGATGAGTAAAAACAGATCCTTAATTCACTCAACCATCTCATGAAGATAACAGAATTGACACTAGGAAAGAACTGAAAATAAATGTGTGATTCTGGCCTTATACAATTAAATGGCATCTTAGTCCACTAAATGTTTTGAATAAGTGAAAAGTATACAAAAGGGGATATTGGATGTGTATCTGGAATGCCAATGCATTTCCATATTTTCAACACTTTTGTGAAAATGAGATAAAGTCGTACAAAAACGGTATTTAAACCACATAAATTCAGATATCACAAGAGTCAAGAAAAGGGGCAGAGGTTCAAGTTTCAGCTTTTACAAATTTTTGCTTCCATGCAGTTTGAAGTATCTAAGGGAAGGTGAATAGCAGAACACAGGTTCATCTCCACTATTTCACTTTTCTGTTGTTAAATTTAAGCATTGCGCAGATTTGTAAATAGGCTATAGCATGTAATTATTAGATGATGTAAATAGTAGCATGTTTTAAAGAGAATCTATGGTTCCAATGTGTACGTGTGTTTTTGTTCCGTGTATTTTTTTATAATAAAATATAGAAAAAAAGGAGTTTGCACTGACTGCAGAGTGTATGTATTTTTTTCTGACTGGGACTGAATGAGTGTCTAAATAATGTTAGGGTTCACAATGATTGCTATGGGCTTGCTTTGTGTGTCACATGTAGAAATCCACCAAAATTTCCAAATACTGCATGTCTGAGTTTTTCCTGTCATTGTTTCTGTGTTGTCTATACTAAATGAAGTGTTACAATATTCTCAGGCTGCAAGTCAGTTATTTACTGTTGATTTCTGATTGCACTGTGTTTGTCAGTAGACAGTGACTGTATATATTTCAGATTTCTTCTTTTTTGGGTGTACCGTAAGTGTTTCCTTTATTCATTCCTGCCTGACAGTTGTTGATTATGGGTCTGACTTGTCACCCCTATTTCCTTGTGCGCCATTAAATTGTTTCTTGTCATTTGACATCAATCCATGAAATTTGTTTTCTTGTTTTCCTTCCATATTACGTTAGTCCTGAAATATTTTATACGCTGCAATCTTTCAACAGAGTTACTGCACCCCGCTAATGCTGTGCTCTGGCAGCTTTGCAGAATGATCTGTCAAACAAATTCAACTTTCTAAGTGAACATGCTGTGAAAACGAATGGATTTGAACAGGATGAGTTCATATTGAGAAAGTTGTTGAAGGTCTATCAGAGAAATCATCCACACGACGGTCATGTTTTGGTTGATGGATTACTTTAGCCTCCTTTGTTCAAGGAGCTGATGTCATTTGATTTCAGACACGTTTGTTAAGATGCATCTTAAACCAGTTGTTTGTATCCTTGTGTGTCGGCCCAGCTGTTTGCCAAATTTGTTTTGCATCCCACCATATTATGTGCATTTGTGAAAGGACCAACAGATCCCCCTGTTAGTTTGTCGTACTTCTCTTGATAAATTCTATTAGCTTATTGCTGCAGTGTCTACAACAAAATCCGTGTCTTCCTATTCTGTGTTTGCCTCTCGCAAACATGAAGCAGACCCAAATCCCAGACCCAGCGCAGAATCAGCATTCATAATGCAAAACTGCCAACCTGCTGGTTTGGTAACATTTCTTCTGCATTCCTCGTCCTCCGAAGTCAACGTGGCCATAATGCAGAACATCCAAAGACCCAAAACCCACCCCCTCACCCGTCCACTTACCAAGCAACATAGACAAGGCAAATGCTTGTCTCTCTTGAGTCTTGTTTTGTCTTGTTGTGGAAGTGTTAATAGTTGTGCCTTTTTTGTGAACTGCATGATTTCATTGCTTTACAAGGTCCATGTTTTCCAGCAAAAGAGAGAAAAAAATTGCTGACAAAAAAAAAGGATTTTAGAAAAAAAACGTGTATATTTAAATCACTGTGTAGAAATGAGGTACTCAAGAGAGCCAGGTCATATATGTGTGTTGTCAATCTGTTATCATAGAAAATAAAGGCATTTTAAGTAGCCGTGTCCAGCGTGGTGTGTAAGTGTGTGGAGACGGGGCGTTTCCGCCTGTGGTCAACGGATGGCAGTGTTCACTGCGTAGACTTTTTGAAGGACAAATCACATTAAGATGCTGCATGTGTGCATTCTCAAAGATTAATGAACGCCATGTTGTTCAACAACATAAACAAAAAGAAAAAAACACACAAATGAGAATGATTTAATGTCTTTATAGAAAATCATTCCAACCATCTCTTTTTCTTGAGTTAAAGTTTAGAAGAAAAGAGCTGAAATGTGATTGGTTAGTCCTTTTCTCAAAACCTAAACAAATATTTGATCATTTTAATACATTTTCTGTTTGTTTTGATGCTCAAGGCAAAAGGGGGAGGCATTTTATTCTTTTGTTTTTTGCGCTTTGAGAACTTTTTAAACATTCTGTTTTCATTTTCCTTCAGTGTAAGCACCATAGCCTTTTTCTTGTCATCCATCAAGGTGAAGCTCCTAAATCAGAGAAAACTAAACTAAAAAACAAAACTGACTGGTGAGACACACAGCTCATCCATTAACCACTGAATAACTGACTTACTTTTGAACGTACTAGGGGAAAGACCTCAGATGATATTCCAAAAAACTTTTATGAAGTACTTTTATTACTTATCTAATACAGTTTTTTTTTAAACATATTTATCTTTCACATTCAATAATTTCTATTCAGACAGCTACTTGATGAAATGGTTCAAAATGATTAATGGGAAACCGTGGTTTCTCCTGCTGTCTGCAAGATGCATTCATGGACACAAAGCAAAGGAAATTAACACAAACAGAGATTTACATGTATTTATTTTGTGAATGGACAGAACACAAAAGTTGAGTTTTTTAAAAATTGTTTGCAGTTTTTAAATGTACCTTCATATTAGCCACAGAAAAAGCACCACCTTTCAGTCAACTCTATTTTACATTTTGACAATCATGATAACAGACCCGCAATTCCTTGAAAATTACGTTGGATAAATGTATGCTTTGAAAGTACAAAATATTATTGACATAAATATAAAAATGGCTCTACGTTTCCCTGGTTTATCTTCTCAACCACTTGCATCTCCTTATTTGGAGAGTTTGGTGATGACTCGGATTAAAGCTCCATTCTCATCCTTCAGTCTCTGATTCTCCATCTTAAGTTCTGCTTTAACCTGAGGAAAAAGCACAGAAATACTTAAACATCTTCAAATGTGACAGTAACCTAAATGGACTGTTGTTTCCAGCTCCATGTTGCCAAATATAAACTCTGCTAAGCTGTTGAAACAGGAAGTAGACTTTCTGTAAGACTTTAAAGCAGTAAAAATGGTCTTGAATTTCTCTGTTTGTATAGGAAAAGAGGATTTCCGGCACAGTGAAGCATTCTTATTTTTACATAGCACAAAAATGAATATTGAGGGAAAAATGTATAGAGTGAAAATGAAAACAATTTCAAAATCTCAATCACTAATCTCATGCATTCCATCTGATCATCTTCGGGGGTTTCATGCCAGAGTTAGCTTCCTTTGAGACCAAATCAAAAAGTGACGATTGACCCTACTCAGTAAAAGTCACCAGCATTATTGGCAGGATGTAGTTATTTGTTGTGTGTGAGCCGTTTATTATCGTGAGGAGTATGGAACAGGCTGGCTCACTCAAGCTAATGTAGCTCCAGTGTCACCAGCACAAGAGAGCAGAGGAAGGGGCGTAGCAGCCATCGCACAACAGCTGGCAAACGTCCATTAACAGAAAATCTACAAAAACATGCTGCCATTTCTATCTCATAGTACATGTAAATATAACCAGTCACTGCAGAGGAAGTTTCTAGCTTGAGCATATGGTCGTTGTGTATGAAAATGAAGCAGACATTTTATCATGTCATCTAACAACGTTAAGCAATCCTTTTTTTCCCCAACTGAATTTAGTTTGATTGTAATCGACATAGTCACCATCTTGGTACTTTAACAGCCACTCAACGAAGGGGAAAACTCTGTCCCATAATACAGCCAAACAGTAATATCTCTTGACAGGATCAAAAATTGCTGATCGAGTGTGTTTTACATTGCAATTCAATCCGGATAGTCACAATTTGATACTTTTCTGCATGTTGTACACTTTCAACACGATTAGGCCTATTTGTATTTGCATTTTGACAGGGTGTTTACTTCAAATCACACAACCGTGGCCAGCATAATATTACACATGTAACAGTGAGGATTACATTTAAGAAATATCACAAAACATTAATAAAAACATTCATACCTAATCAACCAAAGTGAGGTTTCTGAACATGCTGCTGCATGAGGACAGAAGTGGGGGTTCACAATAAAACAATGTCTGAGCCGGATAAATCTGAAAAACCCATCCTGATAAGACAATCATGCATTATACACACACAGGCCCACTCAACATACAACACATACAGTGTTTCTCTGAAAGTCTATCTTCTGCTTTTTGTTGAGACCTTCCATTCAGAGAAAAAACAAGAGGTTTTTGTGTGTATTCTCTCGGGCAAAACACATCAGACACTGAATACTGAGCACTCGCTGTGTCAAAGTGCTCACACACAGCCAACAGAGCAGAATAGTGACAAATGATGTCAGCTTCTGCTAAAGCAGACAAAACAGCTCAGGCCACTGCACCAAATCTCACAAACACTATGACATGGTTTGAGCTGATGGAAAGTCCACAAGGTCGGACTCGGATATACTCCATTAAAAAGAGCTAACATAAGAAAAATTGTTGGAGAATAAGCAGGTTACAAAATATGAGGTATTAATCAATCGTTACCTTTAACTGTTCTTCCATATCTGATATCCTCTTTTTAAGGCTCCAACTTTCCTAAGAAGATCATTCAATAAACATGATCATGATCAATGAGTCAAAATACATAAAAGCAACCTGTTGAAGCCATACCTTTTTCTCTGCTTCGAGGTCGTTCGAGCCCAGGTCACTTGATTGTCCCTTCTGCAGCCATGAGAGATTAGAAAAATAAACTTTATTCTTCTGAATTTTACTTAAATGTATCTATGTAGTTATTTTTTTCTTCTAGATATCCTGCACTTGCACACTACTGCACCTGTGATTTTTGCAGCTGGTCCTGAATCATGGCGAGTTCCTGTTTACTTGTTTCCAGTCGTGACTTGAGCCTTTGATTGGTGGCCAGCGCCTTTTCGTACATCTAAAAAAAAAAGTGACTGTCAGGATCCCAGGAGTACTATTTTCAGTGTACAGACAGAAAAAGAAGAAAAAGACAAGCCAAATGGACACCAGATGTCACATTAACTAATTTTGTTGTTGTTTTTATCGTATAC